CCTTTAGAAATATCAAGTAGAGACGGGAGATTCATTTCCTGACCCTCCAAAGCGCGGTTATTGTGGACTTGGAAGAGGCAGATATTAAAAAAGGCTGGTGGAGGTGAAGATTTGAATCTCATTTCCCAAAACCTTTCTGTCTTGTTGCTTCCTGGTGCTCAGGGCCCCAGGACTGCTCTTTTTGTGCCGTTCTTTTGCTGATATTCTCTGAGCGTGCTCATCTTTGGTTTCGTATCCCTGGAGATCCTTCCACGAGAAGTCTTCTTTAAGAGAAGGTATTCCCATGGTAGGTGGTCGCCTACACGCCCACACCAGCATATTGCTTCCCAAGCTCTTTACGTCTGGTAAACCCTGCAATTTGCACCAGAGCTGCCAGAGATGATGCCAGAAACACGAGCTGTGACAGAGAGCTTGCATCTGAAATCCTCTAGAAGGATGATTCAAGTTCTGCGTGTGTCATGAAACCATCTGACAGGCTTTGTTTGTTAACACCAGTTCGGTTTTTTCATACAGGGATGGAAAAAGGGAAAGCTCCAGGAGCCAGGTAGTGCCCTAAAGCTGACTGTGCCAGTGCACTTGTGACTCACGTGCAATGGAACAGACTTTATCAGCCTCAAAATCTCGTTTAATTTGTAATTACAAGGGGACGCTTTGGCTTTATAGGAGCTTAGGTGTCTATCTTTTAGGAATTAGCAGCCCCTGTCCTCTCCTGTGTTTCACCGTGAGCTGCAGTTGTCTGTAAAGGTAGGCTGAAAGCCTGTGATGAATATCATCAGTATAAGTTCTGATCTTAAATGAGCTTTTAATATATAGCCAGCTTTTTAAACTGGAAAAAAATAATAATAATTCTTTGCTGTCTGGAGGTAACAGTTATTTCTGTTGGGGTTTTGGGTCTTGTAGAAACCATACAGAAATCCAAAGTGTGCAAGTGAGCAAAAGACTGAAAACACTTTTATGTTTGAAAAGGTCAATGCCAGTTCATAAAACTGGACAGGAGGAAGGATCTCTGTCAGGGTTTTGGCTGGGATCAAGGTAATTTTCTCCGTAAGGGCTCACACAGTGCAGTGTTTGGGATTTGGGATGAGAATAACACTGATAACACACCAACTTTTGGCTGTCACAGAGCAGGAGGTGATAATTTTTCTGCTGCTTTTAAATACCACTTTTCCTCCTTTGCTGAAAACATCTCCTGTATCCTAGCTCCATGTGCAGTGCTCCTGATGCTTCTACATCCTGCAAGGTATTTTCTTTATGACCACCTTCTGTTATTACTTGATGTATCTACAACGTAGCTTGTTTTATCCTTTTGATTTCTCATCCAAATTTATTGCAGAAATGACTTATAATGTAGAAGTGACTACATATTGGGGGAAAATAGGTTATAAAACTAGGGTCCTTCAAATTTGTGTACTCCAGCTCCATGAAGCTTTTCAGATGAGAATAAGTAATATTTTGTGCCCATGTTAGCTTTTAAATACTGTTTCCTCTCCAAGTTTTTGCTTATAATTTTGGACTGTGATGTGATTTCAGTCCTTGTACAGATCTCTGTGCATTTATGGTACTGTATATATATATTTTTTAAGACCTGAGGATGATTGAATGAACATGCATAGTAAAACAAAACAAAAAGCTTGGTGGTTTTTACTCTTGCGTTGGTATCATGGCATGCAGGTGTGTGAAACACAGATACAGCTCTACTCTACGTTTATTAAAGGTTAGTTTATTTCTTCCTTTGTCAGTATTCCTGTAGTTCAAACAGCTCCCGTGGATCCTTGGCATTTATCCATGGTATGTTTGCAGAGCACACTTTCATTCCCTCCAGCCTTTGTTGGGCGAGGGGAGCTAAACCGTTTTTGTCCCTTCCCATACTGTAGGTTCCCACCTTATCCTCGCAGCTGAGTGATGCTCCTGACATAATTTTCCATTTATTGGTAAAAACAGAACATCATTTTCCACTGCTGGCTTTCGTGAAGACTTTGCTATTTCCCTGCCTATCCTGGAAGTAAATTTGAGGGTGCCTTTTAGGCGCCTTAAATTTTAGGTGCCTTCCAGTGTTGGCTTATGGTTGTCACCGTACAGTCTTTGTTCTCTTTTCTGCCTCTTCAAATAAATCAATCCAATGTTTGGAATAAGGATTCACCTTCATATGGCAAGGCATGTTCTCGATCACAATATTTCTAATACTGGTCCAGTACCCAAGGAATCCAGTACTGAAATGTAAGAATTCAGTACAGAGTTAAGCCCAAAGCCAGCTCTTTTGTCAGCTCTTTTTTTCCCCATTTTCAACTTCCATATCCATTTCCTTCAAAGCTTGTTTCATGTCCTTGTTCGCTAATTAACTTGGGAGTAATAGGGCTGCAGTTACTTGTGTGGCCTTTTCCTTCTTTCTTGGTGTTGTTTGCTAATCTCTGGGCATGTCTCGCTGCCGTTTTTGATGGAATTAGTTAAGAAATTTTTAAAAATCCCCTTTAATTTGAGCTATTCTGTGAGGATAATCCTGCAAAGACTATCAGGACTTCTAGGAAATCTGCACTCCGGGGGACCTTAGGTTTAACAGCGGCCTTGTAATTTTTCTTCTTGAAAGAAGTAATTTTCCTAGCAGTATGCCCGAGTACTTCATTCATTGTTCTCCTACCCCCATTTCCTTTATTTAAAATTAAAAAAAAAAAAAGCCCAGTTTTCAATAACTGTTTTGCAAATAGGCATGCCTAATCCGTGCTGCAAACGGACTGAACAATACGGGCCAGAAAGCGCCGAGAAGGAGCGGCAGGGATTTACAGCTACATTAGGCCCCCGGTATTTCCTCTCCCAGCAAGATGCTCCTAGATTAAATGCTCATAAATTTCCCATAATTTAACCTAATTACAGCTTTGCAGGAAGTGTCAAGACCTTTGCTTTCCTACGGAGGCATCTCTTTGCTGCGTTCCTGTGTCCGTTTAGGCTTGTTAGCCTGCTGCAGATCTCCGTGGCTGTCACGTGCCTTCCCTCCCACCCAGGGACAAGCAGCGCGGGATTTCTTTTGTTCGGCGCTTGCAGGTTTGGGTTTTTGCCAGCTTTTTGCCCGTTGCGTAATAAAACAACCTAAAACAATGATGTTTATGTGATGTCTAATAAGATCTCCGTGAAATGGGTGCGTTTGAGAGCTCCTCCTGAAAGCAACAGACTTGCTGCCTGGTCTGGGTGTAGCCTTTACTTTGTTTTTTAAGATTTTTAAGATAAAAACGTCATTTTAATGATGTTTTTGTGTGGTTTATGGGAGGAGGCGGCGATGGACCCTGGTTTGCAGCAGCTTTCTGCCAAGCCTGGTCTCTGGAGAGAGCAAATCCCTGCCCATTGCATCCCTGCAGGAACGCTGCGAGAGGTTAATGCTTCCCCCAAGAAACAAGGCACGAAAAACCTCTGGGTTGGTACAAACCTGAACATATTTACAGAGCTGGTTTGATTTCAGCTGGGTTTCTGTTCTGTGGGGGAACCTCCCTGTGGAGCTGCCCTGAGGAATGACATCTCCGGCGTGGTTGTCATAAGTTGGTGAGGCTCGTGGTTGTGCAGGAGGTGATGTTAAATCAGAAAAGAATGGTTCGTGTTGGATGGGATGCTTATCTGGTCAAGAAGAGTGTCTCAAACTGAGATTTGGATTTAATGTGTTGGATCTACAAAGCTAACTTATTAAGGCTGACTGGGTGCGCTTCTTACCATGGGTCCTGAAATAACCTACTTCTGCCAGGGGTTAAATTTCCTGTAAACCTGTAAAATAGGGATTTCTGTTCCCAGAGATGCTGGGAACATACCTTGGGGTTTTGTGATCGTAGTCTGGCAGTTATCACTTCTCTCTGGTATGGATCTTGGAGGGTAGATCTGAAAAGCAGGTGCTTGGATGTGCTCAGATGTGGTCTGCTCACTCTCATTCTGTGTTTTACATGCTTCCAGGAGTTTCTGCCAAACACAAAAGGCAGAAATAATTGTTCTTGGCCTCTCCGTATCCTCATACATCGTACTTGTCATGGAGATACTTGGAAATCAGAGTTAAAACTTTAACTGTATATATTTAACTGATGGCATGTGAAAATTTGCAGCTTAATTAATGTAAATGGTGTTCTGCCTTTTTCTATACCAGCTCTTTCTCAAATTGCACGTCATCTCATTCCCGTTACAAAGCTTTTATTCTCAAAATTAGGATTTGTGGTTGGGCACAGAGGTTGAATCTCCGTCCCTTCTGCTCAGAAATTTACATTTCCTTTTGCCTCACTTGCATTTCTTACCATTTCATTGCGCTTTTGTGATGGCCACGACAGTTTGAAAACCTGTCAGAGTGGGAGAGTGGTCTTGAAATGAGAAAACAAGAGGAAAGAAAGGTTTCTTTGTCTTTCCCGGTGCTGGAAGCATCATCCTACCCTCTGGTATTGGAGCTCTTGATGAGCTTTGGCACTTGCCTGCCATGCTGAGCATTAGGGACTGCTTTTTGCTGGTCCTTATCATGCCCTCTTGCAGTCCATGATCTTGCGTGATCTGTGATGCAGCTCAACCTCAGGTTTGTTCTGTGTGCTCTGGGAAGACCGAAGGGCTTTTGTTGAGGAATGGGTCACTTTGTGACCTTAAAGCATCTTTAAAGTGGTGTGGAGGAGAGAGCTAAGGGAAGGAAAACCATTGAAAACCATATTTGGGGCTGTCATATCCTTAAGGAGCTGGGTTTTAATTCATGTGCTGTTCGATCAGGGTAACCCTACCACCATCTAAGCCAACCTTTCCAGTTAATTTATTTTTTTTATTGCTCTCCAAACGTGTAAAAGGACAAAAGAGAACCATTTAGCCTTCAAATAGTTAACCACGTTGTACCAACATTTAACCACGTGTTACATACGAAAGCAGAAGACAGTTTCAAAAAGGGGCAGCGTTCTGGATGGGAACTGTAGAAGCAGCCTTTAATGAATGAACGTAGCTGTGCTTATTTAAAATGCCCAGTACCCAGTTCTAAACCTCTGCTTTTTGTTTCTGTCCTACAGGGAACACAGTGAGTAACCTGATTTTCATTCTACCTCCAATCTATGGTGCGATTCAGACCTATAAAGATGGCCTTGAAAAACGGTATTTAGCTGCCTATTTGTGTCTTACAGGTATGTGTAACACTTAATTTGCTCTTTCATTCTAAAGAGAGCCCAGATGTGCAATGAACACTATCTGAATGTGAATAAACGGAGTACTAGAATACAAATACTACATGTGGAAACTTTAATGGTTTAATAAAATTGAGGTTTGTGTTAACAGGGAAGTGGCATTTGTTGGAGAGGCATGAAGTTAGAGTTCACTAAATAACTTCATGAGGTTTTAAAGTGATCCGTTTCTGGCATCTGTGCTCTCTGATGGTTTACAGAGGGTATGTGGTCCTGCTTTCAAGCAGTTTAATGCTGTATTAGTGTGGGTTTTAACACTTCTGTGGGAAAGATCTTAAAGGAATTGGAGAGGCATTCTTTCATGAGTTGGAATTTGTGTTCGGTTCTTTGGCATATACCACCCAACAACCTGACTGCCATCGTATTTAGGAAGCTTTGCAGGGATGGAAGAACAACCTGACATTGTGAACTGCTTTCTAAAATGGCAAAATACAGAAAAGAAACATCTCCCTTTAGAATCTCACTCATATAACTTAAAATCATGTTCCTTATGCGGAAAGGAGGTGTTTTAAGATGATTCAGACTTGGCAGTTGGTCTCGAGAAGTGGATTTCACAGAATTTGTGTTTCACGGGATTTCTGTGTTTGCTGTAGCTCCCCTCTTTGGGGAAGCAATCTCCTTCAGTCTTCTCAGTGGTGAGAGACTGGTTTACTGTAAATGTTACTTCTACGACTGGCATACCCATGTATTTTGATAAAACACTGCTGAAAAGCAGATACCCATATGCTAAACATACTCTTGGTGCCAATGAAGCTGTAACATACGCTAGGTACAGCTTCAGGGTTTTTTCAATTTCTTGGAGACCCAGCTCAGCTTTGATAATAAAAAAATAATAATAAAGAAAAGCAGCAGCAATGTACAGCCGTGGAAGTTTCTGACCGCTTTCCAAGTAGCCATTTGTAGGCGTTTTATGGTTATTCATTTTTGTCCCAGTATAAAATAGTTTGGTAGAAGGAATTTCTGAGGGTCAAAGTTTCCTTCTTAAAAGACATTATGAAACTAAGCACTTGCTGAAGTTGACTTTTCCCTTATTCTTGAACCAAAGTATCCTATACTACCATTTTTTTTTTAAACTGAAAAATGGAAAAAATACCTGCATTTCAGTCTCAGTATTTACCATAAATAGTGGCTGCCTCCACCAGTAATGCTTTGTGATGGGTAAAATATGCCAGTATTTGAACAGAACATCAGGATGTCACACCAAGACTGCCAGAAGGATTTCCAGCCCTCAATGGGCTTCTTGTGTACCATTTAATGCGACTGTTTAAAAGAAGTCTGTCTTTGCTTATGATACATAATTTTTTAAACATTTTTTGTACTGTTCTTGGTTTTTGGGAAGGGGAGCTCAGCATCCAGACTTGGTAGCAGTGCTGAAGGGCAGTCCTGAGCTCCAGCTGAGCTCTGCTCCTCTTTAGCTGGGCAGAAGCCTTTGGCTCCTGTCCGTAGTGATAATGAAAGTCAAGCCATACGAGCATTTCTTGTCTTGGGACCTAACGTTTCAGGTCAGTCTTCAAAACGTTTCTCTTCTGTTTTGTCTCCACTTCAGTGGAATGTTTTACAGCAGTTAAAAAAAAAAAAAAAAACGGGATGTAGGCAGCTTTATCACTTCTTAGTGAAAAAACAGGAACAGGATAGGATGCTTTGAAATCACAAACCTCTTAACATGTGTTCTACTATCGAATAAAGCAGTAAATGAGTAGCTAAATAGAATTTTAAATATAGTTGAAACATGCCAAGACCGTTAGCATTCTCTGCATGTGAATGAGTGAGAAGAGAGGGTAAGTGTACAGAAATATATTTTTCTGAGAAAATGCAAGAGAATGCTTTTTCCTTACAACAATTTCATTTAACAGATTTCACTCTGTGTAAGTAATTTCTTACAAAGAAATAGACTGAATCCATAAAGGAACAGTGAATTTAGCACAAAACTGCTGATTTCACTTCAGGCACCATGCTTCGTTAAAAGACCACAGAGTAGAACTGCTAACTAGCTAATAACATCAGTGGGTTGTTCTGTTAAAGCAGAAAGTCTTCCACGATTCTGCTACGAAGATGGAGGTGGACACTTTTAGTTAGGTTTTAACAACTTTGATTACTGAGATTTTACAAGAAGTTGAGGCAGCTGTCAAAGCGGCCGCTGCAATTCCATCTGTTGGCGTTTGAGAACATAAGACATGTTGTTTCTAGACATTGTTGTGATCCAAATCAGCTGTTTCATTTGGATGCATCCAGACATTTAGCTGATTGTCAGCTCCTTTGTGTTTTAGCACGCTGTGCTCAGTGCTTCACTTCATACCCTACAATTTTCCTCTTTGAACGGAGTGCCTATTGAATTAGGAGGGCACTGTTTGTTTCACGTACGTGCTAAGATCCCAAGCTGGCAGGACGAGAAGGGGGATTTCTAAGTAACTATTTAAATGAATTCCTTGTTCATTCTGGTGCCAAGGCTGAGTTGTGCTTTTCAGCAAGTTCTTTGAGATCCAGCACGCTGTTCCCAGCCCTCGTTTCTGCTGCGCTTCAGCTCAAAGGGCATATTGTCAGTGAACTCAGCACAAGCTGGATCAGATTTTTAAGCTTTGGAGAACTATAGAAAATAACCAAGCTAAAATTACTAAGAATAACCTTAAGCAATTACTTTAGCATTTTGCATCTCACAAAGCAGGTACGACAAATCAGACTGTTGCTGCCTCAAAGTATGTGCAGATGTTTGGGATTTTGGTGCTGTGGCATTTTAGCAGGTTCCACCTTTGTGGTTCCCAAATGGTTTATATTCTACAAGGGTCTTAATTTGAATATATTTGTATTTATTTCTGAACTTTATTTCCATTGAAATTCTGTATCTGCAAGATGAGTTGTTAGAAGTCCTTCACCCGAAATTAATTCCCTTATTGTTACCTAAGAGCCAAAGAGGAGGTGCACAAGCCATGTCAGTGTTTGTAAATCAGACGTGCTCGGGGACATTCCTGAGTGCTGAAGCCAAGCAGCATGGAACAGCCCCGTGTCTGTTCATTTTAGCCTCCCAGACGAGGTGACCGTGTACAAATTCACTGTCAGGGTTCCTCTGGCTGCTGGATGGTGCCTGGGAGCTGCTCAGGGTCACTCCTGTCTCTTAGGCTGTGGAGGGGAAATCATTTTTAAGTGTTGAAAACAAAATAATTCAATTAAAATAATTCATTTAACTCTGCTTTTTCTTCTTGTTTCATTCTTTGGCTGTTCATGGTCCAGCATGTTGCTCCTCTTTAGTTCAGCTCCATTATTTTAAGAAACTGTATTTGGGTTTCAGCTCCAGATTCAGTCAGCTCTGTGTAGTTATGATATCTAGTACACGTGTAGATAGCAAAATAAATGTGTTTGTATGTGGAGCCTGCCCTTAACATCCACCCTGCCCTTAATAATGTTTAGTGTAGGACCTGTACAGCTTAAATTCACATCTATGAAATCCTAACAAACTGATTTTTCTATAAAGGCTTAGGCTTGTGATAAATAATTCTGAATGCTGATGGACAGTCTTATATCAAAAATGAATGACAGTTGATTAAGACACCTCTAATTCTTCCTCAAACGATTGAAAATTTAAGATTTATTAAGGTCACTCTCAGATTCAAATCCTGAGAGTTTACTTGGTGTGTATCTGGAGTTGGATCTCAGGCATAAGTATTTCTAGTATGGTTATTGCCTTGAAATCTCGGTGTTTTGAGCACAGTAAAATAAATACACATTTATTTACGTGTATCCCTCATAACTGGAGTGGTTCATCAACGACCTCTTTGTCATAAACAGTGTTGCTTCAAATGGTGTTAAACTTCCCAATTGCTAGGAAGTTTTTGGTGAGTTGAGCTCTTTTCCAAAAGGAAATAAAAGGAGAGAAAAATGGTAACTTCTGCTTACAAGATAAGGATAAAATCTGTTGCTCAGCTTGTCAGTGGCTATATGGGGAAGCTGCTTCTATTAAAAAGCACTGGAATTGCTGTGATCGTGATCACTTGTCTTGTGAAAATTACAAAGCTGGTAGAACATCTCAAGGCAGCAGTGGTTTTGTGAAGCCAACACTCCCTAGAAATGCCTTGATCCTGAAGTTATTATGTGATAAAAAGTACATCTGCAGATAGCTGCATTCCGGTAGATCTGCACGTAGAAGCTGCACACACAGACACCCAGGCTTAAGCAATAAACCACTATTTATTGGAGAGAAATACAGGTCGAGCCCCTTGTAAGCTTGCTTTAAGCCTGACAGATAGAGGTGATGTGTCCTGAGCGTATCAGAGGAAGTACAGATTTCCTTGCAACACTTGGCATGTTATAGGTGTTTCTTCTTTTCCCTTTTTGAAAAGTTTCAGCGCTGAACTCGGATACACTGAGCCACAAAACAGCAACTCAGCACAGCGTGTGTGGTTTAAGACATTATTTGCCTTCTGCTGAAGCTTGGAAGTTGCATGGTAGTGTCAGTGAGGCAGAGCATCACCTACGTTGTGGTTCATCATCTCTTAATGCATTTTCCTTTTTATTTTTTTAAATTTTGACCAGATTCATGAAGCTCTTTACAGTTCTGTGTTAAGCCAGCAGATAAGCCAAAGGTAGAAAGTCAGAAATTTGGCTCTTAGCTCATTCAACTTTAGCCTTTTTACGTTATTCTGCAGTAAGCAGGTATAAATGGGTAAGTGAAGAACCACATTTCATTCTTTAGGCATCATTTAAACCATCTCCTCGTAAAGATGCTGCTGTGCCCAGTTCCAGCAGGGTTGGAGGAGATGTTGTTAATGCTCCATCAAGACTGCTGCGAGCAGAATTACAGCCATTTCCAGTAAAGGTTTTTATTTTAAGAATGGCCTTGTGATGGTTCCCTTTAAACTTTTCTTTGTTTTAGATAACTATTTTATGCGTAGCTCTCCAGTGCATAGCAAACTTTCAGAAAGAAGAAGGACCTTGGTGTGATCAGGACACAGACACAGCAGTTTCTTGATCAACAATTTCTAGAGATTATTTGTAGTCCCGGGATTAATGACCTGAAACACTTAATATCTGCAGCGTTCTCGATTTTTACAAAGACTGGAGAGGGAAAACAAGCCAGAAATAACTGCTGCTAATCATGTAGCAGGAAGGGGAGGAGTGTGCTCAGCAACAGCTTGTTGAGATTTATATTCCCAATAGAGTTAAAAAGTGACAACAGGAAACAAAAGAAACCTAACGAGATGTTTTGTTAATTTTAAATGAAACACAATTTCTGTGAGTTGCAATGATTTTGTCCATATTTGAGCATTATAGTTGTTAAAAATTGCGAGGTATTGTATCATGAAGATACTGAAATCACAGTGACAGCCAGGGTAATGTAATGGGTGGTGCTGTTTTAATGATGATCTTAATGTGGTTTTTCTTCAGAGTGAATAATGGTCGTCATCTGTTGTGTTTACCTAGGAATAGAGCTAGGAGAATTTCTCATTAAAACCTTAATGAAGGTGAAAACAGACATTGCTTATTGTTTGGAAATATTTTCTATGTTACATGCTTTTTTAAATGAGTTGGTTGAGTGTGTATAATCACAATCGTAGTCTAAAATCATCTAAAGAAACATCTCAGAGCACAGCAGCACTGCCCAGCCATCAAGGACTGAGTGGGAAATGCTGGGCTTTTGCTGAAATTAGTCTGAGGTAAAGCCTAATTTCTTGAAGGAAGACAAGACATCAAGTTAATGTACTTACTCCTGCAAAAATAGAAACGAGCTAGTGCCTAATGAGAGTGTTTAATTGTTCACATTTCAAAGTAATGAAGGATACATTAAATACTCAACCAGCTTTGCTCTAAATAATGAAATCTAACTTCCAAGACACATTGTCTTCGTCTAACTGAAAAAAAACAACTCTCTATAGGCGAAGTATACATCTCATAAATTAATTTCAGGATAAATTCAGAGTTGAACATACTTTAGATAAAATGCATTGTATAGAAGGTTGACTTTCCGAGAAGAAAGCTTGGAAATGGTGATCTTATTTCACAAAATGAAACCATACTGCATGGCTTTTGTGGATGCAGAATTTCTGATTCTCTGAGCTCTAGTAACAATTCAGCTCTGCCTCTATCGCTGGCCAAAAGCTGCTTGTAAAATGTACATTTTAAAGCTGTACAAAAAGCAGAAATATCGCAGACGTTCAGGACTACTGTGTATGAACGATGCTTTCCATTAGAGAAGGTTTGAGGCAAATAAATCTTAACGTACTAAAAAAAGGAGGTAGAATAAAAATACTCCATTCATTCTTAGTTCCCTCCACTCCTACTCTCAACTGAGATCATTCTAGTTTGTAGGAGACAGGGAAACCTTCCCCATCCCCCCAAAATCCAAGTATATCACTGGTGACAAGTGTAAAGCAGGCAGCCAAGGAAAATTGGATTTGTTTTCCGGAGGTGGGATGCCGATGGTTAATTTTTTTTGGTAAATTTTGGTTTTAGTTTAATTCACCTGAAATTTTTCTGTGTAGACTTGTGTTATAACCACGGTTTTGGTTTGTTTTCAGCCGTGGGATTGGGATCTTGGTGCTTCCACATGACCCTGAAGTATGAAATGCAGGTGAGTACTGCTAAATAGCTGTAAATCATGGTGTATCTCACTTTATAGTCATATTGCCATTTCTGGTCTAGATTAAACCTGTGTAACAGGAGTTAATTACCTCAAATATCATCTGTATAACTCCTGCTCTTAGCAGAAAACTCGCATGGTTTCATTTCATTAGATATTTTTCACCAATAGATGTAGAGGAATATGCATTTGTATGGATTCCTAAAATAAAGCTCTAATCTATTGCCTACTTTAGCAGACAACACTTTATCCTTTGGGAAATCACAGTTATCTTCTTAGTCACGCTGTTACTTCAAAATTCCTGCAGCTGTGGTTTGACAGCAAGCAGCACAGACTATTGTTAGGCTTTTTTTCATCTTATTTTTTTCTCTTACATTTTGTGTTGATCTAGATCTGCCTGGAGTACAGATACTGAGGTCAGTATCTTCTGATTAGGAGTAGTTGAGTCTTCTTCTCTCTCCTGCTCTCAAGCAGAAGATATTCAGCAGTAAATCACAGGAACTTGTCCTGGAATCACATAGGAATTTGTTTCTGGTATTATCGGGTTTCCTAAAGGACACGAAGTATCTTGTCCTGTTTTCGGGCTCAGAAGATGAAGGAAATTCAGCTTTGTATCAACAAAAGGAAGAAGTGGGATTCAGTTCAAAATGAAGAAGCCTTCACAGACAAGCACATGCCAGGAATCTGTGTTCCTACCATAGTCAGTGGAGTTCAGGGAACTGGGCAGCTGGGCTGAGGCATTCTCCAGGCAGTCTTTGCTTGAATAATATCAGTTTTCCTAAATTTTCCTAAAGAGAGGCGTGTTCAGTGCCATTTGAGACCACAGGACTATTCTGCCTGGCCTCCTGCTGCCATCCCACAAAGCTGCAGGTCCCTTAGACCCCACGTCACATCCACCAGTCTTGAGTGGCTGTACTGGAGACCCCAGGGCATCTCAGAGAGCATTGGGCACGTCCTCTTTCTTGCACTGATGCAGGTGAGCAAAGCCACACAGAACCCTGGATCATTAAAATAATCCAGGCTTAAAACACCTTTTTTTTTCCCCTATGTTTCGGGCTTTTTTAATCCAGATGACTGATGCTGCTCACCACACAGTTGCATTGTTGCTTCAGAACAACCACAGCTGCTGAAATCTTTGGTATTTTAAGGGCAAACAGAAGCAGAGGAGAGGGGAGCAGCAAGCTTTTGCATCATTTTTTTCCCACTGGAGTAAAAGGCTTCGTGTGAGATAGAGAAAGCACACGCATTATTTTGGCAGCCAAGCTAGATCTGTGGCCCGTAACACTGATTGCTGACTGATGAATCACCTCGGAGGAGATATTTCAACCAGTAAATAATCTTTTTTTCACTCACTTTGTCTTGTTATGATTCAAAGTCAGCATTGATAGCTGTTTGAAGAGAGTTTCTTGACATTTGTTTCAGTCTTAATACTGTAAGTGTTCAGCGTGCAGATAGCTTAATTAGGAGAAATGCGAAAGCTTCTGTTCTTGAAAGCAGTTGCTGGGAACATTTTTTCTGAATTTATCACCTTTTTTAATCAAGTTTTATTTTGATGGGAGTATTACTTGATTGTGGCTCGAGGGATCCAAAATGCTTATTTAACCAGCTAAATCAGCACACCGAATTTCCTCCTATACATGTCTCAGACATCCTGTTGACAGGGTTTCTGGAGGGATGAATTCCTTTTGCTACAGAAGCCATTGTATTCCACAAGCAAATTTTAGCTAGGATTTGTTAAGACTCTTTTTACTGTTAGTGTAAAGTCCCTGAGAAGCTGTCAGTATATGCAGTGTGTGCGCAGCTGTCTAAATTTGAAAATATTTACTATATTTCATTTTTTTTGCCTTCTCTTTCTGATTTGAGATTATAAATCACTCCCGCTCCTCAAGAGACGCATGAATTAATCCTGCAGCTAATTCCTATCGGGCTCAGTAAGAAGATTGCTCAATTTCTAAATAATAATTATTAGTATAAAGCTGAATTCATCCCCTGCTTGTTTTTCCTCTCTAAGGCAGCACAGCACAGATGAACTAATCTGATGGCAAAGCGCCACCAAATACGCCTGACAGCCTCATCTGCCGTTTGTCTCCCCGATACTTTTTTGTGCTACCTATTGCAGCCCCTGACAATATAACACACAAATCCATGGATTTAAACTTTTTTTTCCTGTAAGGTTAGGTATGTGCTGGGTCACCTATTGGAAACGGCTCGCTGTGGGTCAGACAAGCGGGACCGCTAGCTCAGGAGAAGCAGCCAGGGTGTGGGTGAAGAATTAAGACCTGTCCTGCAGTGGCAGCTGGTCATTAGATCTGTTCAGCTGCATTGTGAAATATTTCCTGAAGTTTGGGACCAAATTCGAGAAAAGCTAATAGTTCAAGCTTGGAATAATTCATCTCCCTGCTTCTGTAGCTCACTTTTTTTTTCCTCAATGTGAATGCTCAAACCTAAACAGAGGTTTCTGCCTTTGCAGACCAGTGCTGCCAACTGGGACAGAATCAGGCTGGCTCTCTCTAAGAGGGTTTTCGTAAGCTGGTATTGCTCTTAATTTGTCTCATTAGTCAGAAAAACATGACTGTGAACTCGTTAAGCACCCTTTACCAGTGCTGGGAAGGGAGTTGCTGTACAAATCAACATCAACAACTTCCAGCAGGATGGAGGAACAAGATCAAAATCTCTTTGCATCCGGTTCTTGATTGTCTTGGAAAAGAGGCGATCATGGGGGGGGGAGTAACAATTCAAAGTGTCTCGGCATCAACATTTGCTGGACGTATTAGAAATCACAGGCAGCGGGTCTTCACTCATCCCTATAAGAAATGTCCAAAATCAGGAAGTAAACGTTCAAGCACATTACAAGGTGCTTCCTAAAAGGGTTAAAGTTCTCTTTTATGTTATGGAAAAAAGATATTGTAAAGACTTTCTTTGTGTGAAGCTTGTATAGAAGCAGGAAAATGTGACTGGCTGCGTTGAGCAGGCTGTAAATGGTGTAGTCATATTCAAATTGACTTTTAAAAACTAATTATTATAAATGCTTAAAGAGGTATGAACAGTGAAAATGGCGTGATTGTTAGAAGGCATAGCTTTTATCAAATGTAATATTCAAAAAATTCATTGTAATAAGCAGCAAAATTTCAGTAGCTGAATGGGATTTGACGCTGCCATGTCCTGAAAGTACAATCAAGAAGGTGGATATCCAAGTGACTTAATCTCCTATTTTCTTAAGACTTCTCTCTTTAATTAACTTTCACAAGCATGTCAGTTAAAAGTAGTTTTCATGTTTTGATGTCTCTGCTTTTTGTAGCTGTTGGATGAGCTGCCAATGATATACAGTTGTTGTGTGTTTGTCTACTGCCTGTAAGTACTTGTTAAATGTTTTTTTTTCTGAATATTTTTGAAATACTAACTTGGGTTTTATAGAATATGTGTAGCCCAATGTAGTGTATAGTGAGGCTGACACTGAAGCTTCTGTTCATTTCAATGAGATCTCAGTTTTGCCAGCAGCACAGCTTTGTGACTTGGCCATTAGAGCACCAGGCTGGCTTTAGTCCTAGTTTTTGCTAATTTAGAGATGTTTTACCACTGTTTGTTTAGCAGTAAAACAAATAAACAAAAACAACAGAAAACCCTCTCATTAAAGAGCTGTGTTGTATACAACCAGAGCTTAGTGTTACTTGGTGGGTAAACAGCTGACATAATAAAATCACTTCAGTAATGCCTACAAAATTATCAATGTGGTAATTGATTGGTATTTTAGCTGTGGTTCTGTGATGTAGTCTGACTCCAAATGCGAATTTCAGATTTCTGGTTAAACCTGCTCTCCACTCATCTGAAAAATTAAAAGATTTTCTGAAGAGTTGAGTGCATGTGGAGAGTGTCTCAGAACATGCATCACTGCTTAATACCATGCCAGGATGTGTTCTACCATTTAATTTCAGGAACAATATAGTGTTTGGTGACTGTAAAGGTACAGTAAGTTATCTTTTTTTTGCCTGTTGCTGCAAGGCCTGGATTTAACACAATTTGTTCTGTCACTTGGAAAGTCCAAATGATTAAAAAAAAATAAAAAACAAAAACAAAAAACGTTCAAGACAGAAAATAATTGTCTTTTTGCTTTTGAACATATGATCAAATATTCAGCTGTTACAAATTGGAGCATCTTTGGTGAAGATTACTGGTAGCTTGCAGTGGAGATGGGATGCTACAGGACTGAACCTCCATCTGTGGAAATTACCATCAGTTTGTGATTCATCTGTTAGGATGATTTGTGCAAGCTCAGGACCGGAATAATAATGCCTCTGTTAGTGGAAATATTTCCATCGTAGCTCCCCATCTCCTTGAAATAGCCTTTGCATTTTTTGTCTGATTTGAATGTGATCGGGGAAAGGATGAGAAGAGGCTTTAAAAAACGATTTGAAAAAATAATCATGCTCATTTTGTGCAGCAGTTACTCTATCATCTTCAAAAGCACTGCAGCCTGTTACTGTATTTCTAGCCCTAATAAGATTCTACGTGTGTTTGTTTGGTAGTAATTAAAATGCTCTGAAGAATGAGCTCATGTTTAGCTTGGGAGGCCTTTAATAATCATTATGGTTTTCTTGAAGGTAGGTGGTGGGGTGGTTCTGCCCAGGACATGCCCTCATACATCATGCAGTCCTAGTGGTTCTCGAGCTCTGCAATTACTTAGGCCATCCATTTTGCAATGTGCTGTCCTGATGATTTTCTCCAGATATTCCTGCACATCTTTTTTTCCTTTTATTCATCCCTGATTTCTTAGGAGCTAATAGTAAGGTAGTCAGATGTCACTCGTAGCTATACAGACATCTTCCTCCAGCCCTAATGATGTGGTGACTTTGGGAAGCACAGAGTGATATTGTTGCTTGTTTGCTTCACTTTTTTTCTTTTCTGATGAAGTTACGGTCTAAAGAGCAGCTCTGTGGAGGAGGACCTGGAGTAGTGGTGGACAGCGAATTAACCACATAAATGTGCTCTTGTGGCCAAGAAGCCATCAGTAATAGTGTTGGTAGCAGGCCAAGGGAGGTGATCTTTCTTTTCTAGTCAGCACTGGTGAGACCCTACTGTGAGGAAAAACTTTGTTTTTGTGGAGTGCTGGGTCCAGCACTGGGCTCCCCAGTACAAAACAGAGCTGGGCGTACTGGGGAGAGCCCAGCACAGAGCTACAAAGATAATTAGGGGACTGGAGCATCCCTCATGTGAGGAGAGGCTGTGAGAGCTGGGCCTGTTCAGCCTGGAGAAGGCTGAGAGGAGATCTCAGCGATGTGTATAAATACCTGAAGGGAGGGCGTCAAGAGGATGTGGTCAGGCTCTTTTGGCCAAGAGGCAACGAGAACGAGCTAAAACACAAGAAGTTCCAGCTGAAAGCGAGAAAAGACTTCACTGTGAGGGTGACAGAGCTCTGGGAGAGGTCTCCCACCTCACGAGTCTCCTCTGGACATAGTCACAACCCACCTGGGCTTGGCCCCGGTCACCTCCAGAGGCCCCTTCCAGCCTCCACCACCCTGTGATTTTGGGATGTGTCTGGTAATTCCAGCACAGTTAGACCTGAAGTGCAGCACAGAGATAATGAAGCTAATTTTAATTAATACTAGCAGCGATTAGCTGTTTTTACTTCCCACTTCTTCCAGTACCTGACCCAGTAAGTTCATGCGCTGTGGCTGTGGTAAAGCTGTAAACAGCCTGCATTGTACCAGATCTCCAGAGTTTGCTGTTTTGTAAGGCAGTCCCTTTCCCACACTGACTTTCCTCACAGATGTCATGTTTTTTGGCAGCTGTATTGCATTTTGAACTTGTTTCTAATTTGTCATCCATTATCACCCCTTAAGCACCTTCGAAAAATGCTTCTGCTTACCAGTTTCTTTCCACTGACTGGCTTAGTTTTTTTTTTTATATGCATAAGCTTATTGTTTTTTATTTTTGCAATAGACTTCTTGAAAAACATTTATTAGAAGTGTGGGGTTTTCATATTAAAATGACATCTTTATTGGAGCAGCTACAATTCCTTGAAGGGCCTAAGACTCATTTAGATCAATTTTCTCACAAATTCTGTGATAATACACCTTGAAAAACACAGCCTTTACATGCTAAGTGATGAATGTTATCACTCTCCTTTATGTTCTGTTCCAGGTATGAATGTTTCAAGTACAAGAACACAGTCAATTATCCACTGCTTTTCTTGTTAATAACATACAGCTTCGTAGTCAGCATAGTAAGTAACTTTTCTAATTTGGCATTTTCACCCGTATGTTGACAGTTTCTTGCCAGTGATGGAACATTGCACAGGCAGTCCTGAATCTACACGCTTCCAGTCAAGGAGAAATTGTTTTTTTGGGGTGGGAAAACGATGTGCTGGCCTGAGAAACCTGAATTTTTTCAATCTAAAGCACTATACAGGATAAATGAAGAAGAAAGAAACACAGTAATGCAGTTGCTATGAGTGTGAAGAAGAGTGTCCTCCGGCTGTGACATGTTATGAGACCCTGGACAAGCTGTCTTTTCCCTCTGGGCCTCACCTTAACTTGTCGACAGAAATGAAAATAATCCTGTTCAACAGGCTGCAAAAAGGGAGCTGTGATGCAGTCCTGTATATTGACTGTTTTTTCAAACACCTGGCAGAATAAGAAAGGAACCCATCAGTTTAAAAAATTGAGAGTACCCGGCAGAATAAGAAAGGAACCTATCAGTTTAAAAAATTAGAAGAGTTTAAACTGTGTCATGGCTAACTTGGTTCCCTTTCTCAAGGCAGCATGCTGCCTGTGTGAACAAAATTAGTTTTGTACTGGCCATCAGCCACAGTTGGAACATCTTTCATTATTTTTATCAATAAACGTTTCTTATTAAGTAGCATTAGAGGTCTTCTGCCTTTAGGAGGCACAGGAAAGATGAGACTTAAAGTTTATTTTTTATACCTATGGCATGTTATGCCTAACATGCATGTTATGCATCTTAACTACTAGCTGTTGGTAAAATGAATTGAAATGTTATCATCAAAAACATTAATAATAGCAAATCTAAGCAGGGTACACTTTATTCTTGCAATGCGTATCAAGAATGTGTCTGGTAATTTCTGCATTGTAATTGTTCATGTATGTGTTGCAACTCTATTAAACGAGGAGCTTTTAGCTATTGATATTGCTATTTGTGCTTCTGAATTTTAAATAATTCCACAGTTAAAATCTGTTGAAGAACCCTCAGGTTTTGCCAGAGGAAACTTCAACTGTTTAATCAACTTTAACATTATATGGATAGGCACTTGTGTCTTTATTCTAACAGAACAAGCCTTAGCAATATGTAAATTAATGATGTTATGATTGTTCTCCATTGCAAATTATTTCTCTCTTTATAATCTTTGCAGGTTTATTTAAATTTGAAAGAGCCTGTATTCCACCAGGTGAGTGTTGCTCTGGAGAAGTTGATTCTGTTCAAACTTTGCTGTTTTAGTGGAGTGCTTTATAGGATGCTGTAGCTGGAAGGAAGAAGAGAAGGCAAACCCCATTTGTCTTTCGCTTTTTCTTTAAGCAGTACTGCTCTCTTGTCACATCGCCATCCTGTTACTTGGTGACCTGAAAAACTGGAATGGTTTCTGTGGTGTTTTAGTATTTGACCTAATAGTCTAGGTGTTTTTCATCAGTGACAAGTGTAACGAGAGGGAGGCCTTAATGAGCCTTTGTGTGTTTTATTACATTAGTGGCTGCTGTGAAGCTATGACCTGACATCATAACATGGCTTGGGCAACTTAACCCCATGTTCTTCTCTCCCTTTTTATACATAAAACATTTTTTTTAACTACTTAATTTTACTTTTTATAAATCCAAGCTGAATTTAAATGGAGAATGACTTACAGGGTTATGTGGCAGGCTTGTTGTTATGGCCGTAGAGGATTAGTGACACATTTGGTACAGGGTTTTTTTTAGTAGCAACACTGTCCAACAGTATTCATGTGCATTTGCTGCCAGTGGGAATAGGATTTGTACCACTTGCCTGCTCACAGGAGGTTAGAAGTCATGCTTGCTTATCTATGCCACGAGTAGCTTTCCCTCTTTTACGACTTTTTGATTAGGGATAACAGCTGAAAAATTGCCAAGCAAAAGCTCAGCTCTTTGCAGGACAGAGCTTTAAAGCCTCATTTTCTGCAATTGGTAGTGCCATCGCCTGTCAAAACGTGCCTGCTGCATCAGCGGTCATAAAAATGATGCATGTTTCCTGGTGTTGGATTAGTAAGCCAATGATGAATAAAATAAATTCACAACTGCTCCAAACAATCTCTTCTAGAAACAGGAGTTGAGACTCTACCTCTAGATAAAAAGAGAAGCTTGCAGGGTTTTTCGATCATATTTATTAAATTCCACCCACCCACCCCCTGCTTACATTTTTGGCAGGAAGATGTTAGCCAAGGTGAAAAAGGCATTTTCTGATGCTTTTCTTGAGCTAGTTGTAACTGGTTTTGATTGAAGTGATTTAAAATATTTTGGGTAATAATGGCAGAATTTTCTACTTGTATTGGACTGTATTTCTTTAATTCATCTACTCAACCTGTATTTATTGCAAAAGTAGATCACAGCTTCCCTGTTTGAGGCATTCATATAGGTATTGTTTGATGTGCCAGATATTAAGAAGCTAAATATTATGACTTCTCTGGAAAGAGGGAAATAGGGAAACTTTAACCCATTGCCACAGACCATTAATATTTTGCATCTGGTTTCTCTTAGGTTCCGAATATGAAATCCCTGTTGTAATTTATACGTAAGGAGTCAATGTAGGACAGATTGAGGCCCATAAAAGTGCTGGACTTATTACAACAACTCTTTCTAAATTGATTTTTATGGAGAACATACAATTATGGCCAAATACCAAATGTCCCAGTACTGCGCTCGCTTTTTCCTACCCTTTGCCAAATGTGTTGTAAATCCAGAGGAAACATTTCTCTGCACAGCTAAGCAAGGTTATTTCTCTTAATATTTGTCCTCTTTATAATTTCAATAAGTGTTTTCCAACCAAATGTATTGCACAGACTTGAAGTAAGGTTAAATACATTCACGAAATCACAGTTTTAACTCGTAGTCTCAGTCCCTGGCTGTATTGGAAAGCAGCATTAGGACATAAAACAGCATTTGATTCCTCTAGGTGTTTGTGATCATCCTCATTGTCAGCCTTGCAAAAAGAGGAATAATTACCTGGACAGTTATATTCTCCGTTGTTACAGCATGTTTTTTCCCCAAAAGGTGAGCAACAAGAATGGAAAAGGATCCTATTACATTTCGTAGCCAGGATCCAAGCCTTACTTCTCAGTGGATTGCTTTCCACTTTCCTTCCCATCTTGGGCTCAGAAATTGCATATTGCCAGCAAGGCACGAAGGGGATTTCAGTTTATTATTCATGGCACAGTGGCAACAGAGACCAGCTTCTTTTTCTCCATGCAGACATTCCAGGTCTGTAAGGTGAAGCACCGAGACCCTTAGGAGGAAGGGTCTTACCTAATTTCCATAGTGCTAAACAGACAGAGGACCCAGTCAATCTCAATCCAGCACGATTGTCAAGGAAAACAGCTGTGGCCTCTCCCTTTTTTTCCCTCTAGTACACAAATCTACTCTCTAATGAGAATTTCACTGGGGAACTGAACAGGTTAAAGCTTTCCAGAATTATTCTTAGATTAGTTTCTCATCCCTGTTTACCACGTGTATATTTGCGCTTATAGGAGGAAAGGGGTGGGGGAAGATTGGCTGCTGTCCTGCAAGTAGAAGAAACAACCTGGAGAGTTAAATTTTTAGAGTCCTGTCTTACAGGTGGCCTTCCTTCTAATATGACATGGCCTAGAAAGCTGTCATCTGCAAAGTGTGGTTTTCCATCTGGATTTATTTACCTGCTACATACCATATGCTGGCCTATATGGTCAAAAACCTCAGTAGCTGATGGGCCAAGTTATAGAAATAATGAAATCCATCTAAAAATCTTTTTTCATTTGCGTAGTCATCTGCTGCAAGAGTTTGAAGGAAGATTTAAACAGGGATAATTAGAAGGTAATTAGAAAAATAGACAAAATGTTCAGGTTAACCTGATAGCTTTTTCTGCTGGCTGCTTTCTCTACGTTAAGAAATGCAGTTTAAAAAAAACATCTTTTGTATAGACGTGACAGAAGTGTTGATATGTTTTCCCATGAGAAACTAAGCAAGCTGGAGAAGTAGAGTGGGATGGAATTGCAAATCAGGTAAGGGAGTGACTAAGGGAACATGACTGAGGGAGATGATGAAAGGCAGTCTCAGTCTGGACTTCCTCGGGATTAGCAGTAGAAGTGTTTTTATTTAATGACCTGTAGCAGGAAAAAGACTCGCCTCCTGATGAAAGTTGTGAAGATACAAAGTCCAGAGGAGGATGAAGAGAGAAGTGAGAGACCTGGAGGACTAACGGGACAAACAGGGGAGGAATGACAAACAGGAGGAATGCATTTGCTGATCACAGCATAATAACGTGGCCAGTGAATTCTCTGCAACAATGATAGAAGTAAAAAAAAAAAAAAAATAAAAAATCAGATTTACCAGTTAAGGTGACTTTAGGTAAGAGGGAGAGAGCGAGTGTTGGAGGAAAAGGTATTTCATTTGCCTAAATGAGTGAAATTGTCCTTGGTGGTGTTTTAAACATACAAATTAAAAGAAGGCAGTGGGAGGACTTGGGGTAGAACAAAACCTGTATTTTGAAGTGCACTTGGAAGCCTGAAGCTGCATGAGAAATATGTTGTGGCAGAGCACAGCTTGTTCAAACGTACAGGACTCCCTGAAACTTGCAGGACTCCCTGTTCTGGGGAATAGCTGTGGGCAACACTCAGTGTCCTGCAGCTTTCCAGAGTCCCTCCTGTTTTGGCTTAACCCATTGTGCCTCTTTGTGGAACTTGGTTCATTTCTGCATTCTCAGGGTGTCAAAGAGTCTGTTAAAAACCGTGTTTTTTCAGGACATGGCTTCACCCCAGAGCTTTTTATACTTAGACACTGCCCTGCTGAAGACCAGGTGGAAGATTTGAGTGAAATTTTGGTTACACAGCCTTGCTTCCAGAAAGCCAGTACTGCTTTCACTCTGTTTGGTACCTCTACCAGCACGATAGCTTAGGGAATGTGGAAAGACGTTCAGGCTCTGCAAAGGACCAGTGCTACAACTCATTGAAGGGGAACCCAAGAAAACCTCAATTTCCAGCTGCAGACCATGTCCCAGAAGCTCTGGAAAGCTGCTGAGCACCGTGCAGCTGCAGGGACTTGGATGTCACTGAGCCATCACGTGCCTGCATCCAAACAAGACCAAGGCAGGTGAATCTGGATGAGCTCAGGCGTGAGCTGTCAGGGCAGCATCTAGTGCTGAACAGCCGTAACACTGCGCAGAGTTGTGTTATTCTGAGGCTATCCCTGCCTTTTTTACCTCTGCTCAGACTTCTTTCCTAGGAAAGGACGTGTAGAAGTCTGTTTTCTTGGTTGTAAAATTCAAATACAGCTTTTATCTTCAAGTATTTAGGCTATTTCTTGATAGATGGTTTGTATATTGATAGAGAAGTAGTGGCCGTCAGGAAGCTAAAATCTGTGTGGTTCCCAAAGTGTGCACTCATATTTGAGGCTGATGAATTGGCTTTATTAACAAAGAATGGGCAGAAACAGAAGAAATGGAAGGGGAAGTAGCGGGCTCTTGATGCTTGGGTTTTCATGTGTCACCGAAGCAATTTATTAGTTAAAGAACAACAACAAAGGGGACTAAAGGAATTGAGGGAACTCGAGCAGACCTCAATAAGGGAGACGCTTTGTGTTTTATTTGCTACTTTACCCTTCTTCGGGTGGACAGATGATGCCTGACGCATTTTTGGCGTGGTTAAACTGGTAAACCTGATGGGTGGCAAAGGAATACAAATAAAACGCTGCTCCCCAAAGCATAAACGAGGTTACGTAGCTCCTTTACAGGCGTCTGATGAGGAGCAGCTGTAGGGAGACGTGTCACAGCATCACCTCCTCGATGTCTGCCTCCGGTGTGTGGAGCAGAGCAGAACGGTTTGTTGTTCCAGCCTTTCACAGGCTTTTAAACACGGATGTGTTTTCCTGCTAACAACCTATTTGCGTGGGGGAGCGGAAACGGCAAGAAATGGAAGTGTCAACTCTGGGCAAGTTTTTCTTCAGTCACTGCAAGGTTCCCTTTTTTTTTCTTTTCCCTCCACTCCTTCCATTAACACTTCAGCCTGACCTCTTTTACAAGCCATTAAGCAACTCGCTAGGAGATACCGAGCCAGTGGCTCTGCAAAAAGAAAAAAAAAGCTTTTCATAGCTTTTGCTTTACCCTGCTTTTAGCAGCTGCAAAAAAAAATCACATTTTTAGCCAGTGTTTTACCTGGGCTTTGGGCTGCGTTTCTCTAGACATAATCTGGCGCTGTTTAGCTCCTCGTACAAAGAAGCTGAGAGCAAATGAGTGAAATGATAAAAGCTTGAGCGTGGTCATGCTCTAAACCAGTATGATAGCAGTCTCTCACTTCGTGAGTAGTTTTTTTCCGTGTCTGTGCTGCAGAGGAACGTTTAAGCAATGGAAAATGCAGGTGAGAAGAGAACAGGGAGGAAATGAGGTTGAACTGAGGAGCCTTTCTGTGAGATTCTTCCTTCTTTCCTTCCCTCTTTTAGAATAAATTACCGGATTTGATTAGGAAATCACACCAGGCTCTTTTAAATGAGACTGATAGAGTAAAACGGCATTTAACTCATAATTTTAAATGTGTATTTGTCATATGGAGGTGTCTTTTTAGGGAAAACTCCCCCAACGCTGAGGAATTGGTGAAACACCGAGCCCATGAGCAGCCCCAGCACCACGTCCTCTTTCCAGCTTCACTTGGGACTGCTCAGCACTCGATCCTCTGTCCACGTTGAGCAGGATTTTTTTTCTCATTTCTATGCCGTACCTCAGGCAAGGGAACTGGAATTAGTTGACAGTTTTTGTGTAAAGTACAAGCCAGGACTAATTAGCCTTTCAAATAATTTTTGCTTTGTTTAGCTCTCGAACAGAACCCAGAGCAGCAGCGGTTCGGTTACTGAAGTTATTTGCTCTCTCGCTGAATGCAAATAAAGAGCTGCTGTGCTGAGTGACTTTACATAGTCAATACTGGAGCTGACTTTTACCTGTTGCCAAACAGAAAGGCTCCCTTATCTGTCAGGTTCCTTATATACGCGCTGATAACGTGGTGTGCGCTGCTAACCTCATCCTTTAGAGCTAAAAACAAATTCGGAAATTTGCCTTTACGGACTTGCTGGAAGGTAGGTTTTATTTCACAGGAACCTGTTTTGTGTCAAATGACTTGCATGCGTGTGCTTGCAGGGCAATAATGCCCTGGTTACAGCAGAGCAGGAGGTGTTCCTTGCCTTGAAGACAATATCATCTAAAAGAAAGGGATTAGGAAGTTGATACAACGTGGTGAGGACCCTGGTTTGCAAACCACCACTCTGTGAGTTTCAGCGTCTTTTGACAATACACAGCAGAGGTTCCTCATTCTTCTGGGTCATGTAAAAACAAGGCAGAGTTAGGTGGAAGCTCACTAAAAGCAAAACTGAGATCAGGAAGGTCAGGGAACGAGCAAAGCGAAAAACAGCGAGGCCCTCGTGGGTCACTGGAGAGGGGCAAAGAGCAGGGCAGGGCTGCTCGGAACAAGCGGCTTTTTGGCAGGAAGAAGGCTTTGAGAATTAAAAGGATGGGCAGTGAAGCGATGGTGTTGGTGTCAGATAATCCTCATCCCTTCATCAGTCAGGCACGATGCTCATCTTTAGTCTGTGCATCTTGGAGATGGTGTTGGGTGCATCCAGAGCTTGCAAGAAAACAAATGGAGAGTGATTTAAAGATCGTGAGGCAGAAAATAAATGATTACCTCGACCTTTTCTATAAGCCAGGCTGTTGCATTCGGCTTCATGGAGCCTACAGTGAGCCAGCTTCTGCTCGTGGAGCTTTTCGGAGCACGCAGCCTCCTCACTGTGTGCTTAGATTGAATCCCAGCAATGCGGAGTAGTCGATTTAAATGCTTCCTGCAAAGGCTCTTCCATGCTGGTGCTCGGTGTGGGCAGAATGCAGTGTTTGCTTTCAGGAAAAAAAAAATACACTTCCTTCACTTAATATTTGATTAATAACTTTTAAAAGTGTTTTCAGCTGGTGTTTATGCGTCCCAGGGTTGAAATGTACGGATAGAGAAGAAATAATAGGATTTACGTAGCAGTTTGATTGCAGGATGTTTACCGAGTGCCATCTAGCGTTTGCTTTCTGATTCAAAGAAACGTAGCTGTGGTTTTACACTGACTTTTCTTGTGATCGCGTAAACAGCATGGTTATAATTGTATTTTTATTTGAAACTTCTGTGAAAGCCCTGGAGAGGAATGTAGCAGGGGTGTTATTTTTTTGAGGCTAAGAAATAAAAACCAGTCTGCAAAAAATGTTATTCCTGTAGCGTTTGATAAAGTCTCTTGACTACCACTGCTGAATTTTGTCTCTGTTTTTATTTGCAGATCATGTATGGAACACTAGTTTCCATTATAGTTCTACGGTCTGTTTATATAGTATTATGGTAAGTATCATTCTGTATTATTATTAACCCGTTGTAAGATATAACTTAACGTTTGTGTCTTTTTGTGGGTTTAACAAGAGAAATGAGCAGTGGCGAAATTCCTTTAACTGGGTACATGATGCTAGCTCATGTGCACGGCTTTGTTAAAAGGAACTGCCTCACCTCCCCAAATTTTCTTGAAGCCAGGGGGTTATCATTAAGCAAAGTTGCTCTCTCTGCACTTGTGGTCAGCCTGGGACTTCAAGGGGGACAGAGGTTTTGTCCTCACAGAGCTGGATAAAATGTGAGACCTCTTGCAAGTGTCCAAACTCTACGTTTGATTCTTGGAGACAGGTAAGAGCTGGGCTCTGCAGAGCTGAGCCATTAGTTCACGTTTCCTTTCCTCGTTCCATCTCAAGTATCTAAAATGCAAACGTAAAAGATAAAAACCCCCCAAAAAAAATTAAATGATAGTTTTCGCTACAGTTTTGAATAAGTAAAATTAGGTATATGTAATGGAAATTTTAGTCATGGATACACCGTACAAAAGGACTTGAGTGTTGAGACACGTTGAGAGGCTTCAGAGCACAGAGTTGGTGTATAAAACTGAAGAAAAAGGAGTTGAATCAGTACTGGGATAAATATATTCCTTTAGTTCTCAGGGGCTCAGTCAGTTCCTGTCTCTCCCCTGTGAACAGTTGGCTTTCTTATGGGTTTGGGGCTTGCCTTTGGAAGTCGCTGATTTCTTTCTACTGTGTCTTCAGGCTAAATCTGCCTTTTGTTAACGTTTGAGTTATACACGGGACTGTTCAGCAACACAAGGAGGAATGCAACAAAAGGTGTGAACTTAAAGTAGATTCATTGAATCACCTTTCAATCGCAATTTCAGTTAATTTAGTTTGACTTTCCCCCAAGAAATCACCACAAACCAAGCATAAATGTTCACAGGCTGCTATTGAGCAAGAAAAACTTAAAGCTGATTGCATTTGCTTGCAGCTATAGAAACCATAACCCATTTAAAGAAACTTTTCAAACCCATAAACATGGAAATTTTAATCCTAACCTAGAGATCTTAAGGGGTATTGCCTTAAATTACTTCCAACGGGAGCGAAGTTGAATCAAGTTTAAGGAGTTCTAATTTTGTTCTTGTAGCTTTGGCCATTTAGATTGAATTTCTTTATTTTAGTGCAGACAAGCCCTTGGGCCTGCTCTCTCTCCAGCTCTGCAAATTCAACTTTTTTGCATTATTTCTGCAAAATTTTGTTGTTTCCTGTCACTATCAATAACACCACCATCCTCCCAAGGTATCACCTCTTGTTTTCTTCCAGTAAAGCCTGTGAAGTTCTACCTACTTTTTTCCCTTCAATTTTAGAGGTTTGAGGATATATTTTGTTAATTAGTTAGATCACTTCATTGAAACATCACTCTCCATAAGCTGTACTGCTGCAAATTGTGGTTAGAAGGTTGGGATGGGGAAAGATGTCCCGGTAGGGAAGCTGTTCTGACCTGCTGGTGCCCTTTCTCTTCTTCAAGCCAGCCCTGAGTATACTTTTGGATTTACTTCTGCATTGCTGAAATGCATTTCTCTCTTCCTGTTCGTAGCTCTAGCACTTGTCCAAGCCTGCTTTAACTCATACATAACTTCTGCTTTTCTGTTTTATTTCCTTAATATGCATTAACTTTCTACCACTCATCTTTCTTAGTACAGGCTTGGAAGTCACCCTGAGCATTAATATCTCAAAGGGCAGCATTAATATCTCAAAGGGCAGAATGTAATTCCTATCAGGCTCTTCCCTCCTCTCATCCTTGCCACTTGTTGTCATTCCTGCCTTTTTCCCCCAGCTTTTTTGTCTCTTTCTTGGATCCTCTTCCTTCCCAAGATTATGACTTGGCAAATGTTGCTCTTTGTTCACAAAGCGAGTTCCCTGTTAATGAATGATGCCAGCCTCTCTCATATTCCCTCACAGAACCCCCTCATTAATTCCCCGAACAATTCTAGCTATAATTACCTAATTACCAGCGTGTATAACATACCATTTAGTGCTCTTTCATGTCCTGGGCTTCCTTGTGTCTCTAGAGCACTGAGTTGGGAGTATCACAGTGTGCTCTCTGCCATGCACCACGCAGAGCTTCGTGCATTTATTAGACTAAATAAATTATGATTTAGCTGCTTTATATTGGCTTGTTGTTAACATGTGTAACTCGTATCTGGCTAGTTCCATTTGGACATTGCAGTCGCCAGTGCTCACAGCTCTGAAATAAATCCTTGCACAGCACGGTGGAGGAAAAGCAGCTCAGGAATGCATTTTAACCGAAATATCTACGCTGTGCGTTTATAAGGGTTAAAAATCACGTGAAGGGTGTTTCATGGCAGCTTCTTGGGGTTGGAATTGGGCTTTCTTTTGGATTTGCTAGTGGGAAAAGGAACGAATGCCAGCAGCTTCGTGTAGGAAGTTGACAGTTCCATGGTCCAGCCTGAATGCAGGTAGTGAGGGTGAGCTTATTAATGATGCTCTTTCTTGTAGCTGAGTCTTCAGGATGGTTTTTAGATCCTAAATAGGACTAATTTTTCTTAAAAATGCAATTATCATTTTTCCATTGCCAAGGACAGCTAATGATAAAATACAATATGAAATTATTGTTTTCTAAAAGTGTTTATTTAGTTAGTTGTTGATCATGGTGGTCTTCACTCACAAAAGACTACAGCCATTCTGAAAGACCTTATTTGAGCCATTCTGAAAAACCTTATTTGAATGAGTCCCCTCCTATAGATATATCCTGCATCGGAAACGAGCCTCTTCTCTTGGGAGAGTCCTAATTTGTAATGTGGTTAATTTTTAACTGGAAGATTGTACGTGGGACTGACAAATACCTTTTAGACAACTTCAGCTTTCCCACTTAGAACAACTAGTAATGGAGAAGTAAAGCCTCTGAAAGACCAGTCCTAGAGAGTGCTAATTCAGGAGAAGCAGAGGAGGTAAAATACAATAGTTAAATAGATAAAATAAGAATTTAGTATATATTTTTTTCTTTTGGGAAAGGTATCTTCCTAAATGAATAAGTTTACTTGTATGTAATAATATTTATGTACGTTACAAGCTGCCTTTTAAAGCATCTTGAACTTAATACTACATTTTTTTCCTCTCTCTCTAGGGTATACCCATGGCTTAGAGGTCTAGGCTATACATCTTTAACTGTATTTTTAATGGGATTTTTTCTCTGGAATGTGGACAACATTTTCTGTGATAAATTGAGGTGAGCACTTTCGCTTTGTCTTAATAATCTTTTAGCATAAAGCTTTGTTTTTTTCTGTGGTGCATGTTCAAGTCTCCATCTGATGGTACATATGATACAATGCCTACAAAACATTCACAAGTGTTTTTATGCAGTTTGCTCGTGACTAAATTCAACACTGAACAGTTCTTTTAAAGGTTTTCTTTTCCATGAATAGATTCCTTTTATTTTTTTATAATTGATATTTCTCTTCACTTTCCCTCAATTTAAATTGAAGTTAATGTCACTGAAGTAATTTTGAGGATCTGTGGCATTCAAAAGTCTGCTCTTCACACTTGATTTCATCTGAATGAGATTTCAATTCTGCTTTTTTTTTTTTTTTTGGTTTCTGTTTCCCGGGAAAATATCAAGAGCAGCAGTTCTGCAAGCTACAGAAATACCTGCTGCAATCTATCTGTCACCAGTCAACAGCAGCTGTTGGAGTGTCTGAGAAAGAGCAGCAACTCTGTGAGCCAGTGCATTGTGCTTGGCTGTCATCATTAAGCCTGAAGTCTTAGCACTTAGAGGAGGCTGGGAGAGACTTCATTTCTGTTTAGTCTATTGCCAAATGTTGCCTTTTATTTAAAAAAAGTATTCCAGACAAACCCACTGTCTTGTAAGGCTACATACTCTGTCCGTGCAGGAAAGAACACCAGCCCATCATGTTGTTCTCTGAACGTGTTCCCTGGAGCTGAGCAGCTTCATAGCAGCCCCTCTCCTTTTCTTAGTGCTTGTGCTCCACCACTTGCTGGTGGAGATAGAGAGCTTGATGCCAGCGTCCAGAAAATCCCATCCTGACTCTCTGACACACTGTTAGAGGCTTGAATCTGTTGTGCACAAAGCTCCTAGTAGGTTGCTTTGTCAGGTTCAGCTTGTAACATGCTGTAAAGAAATCCAGTGTCTTCCTTCTGTCCTCTTTGGCTCTGTAGAACCCATTTTAAATCAATTTAAATCAGCTGCATCACATCGCTGGTGAGATCACAACCCCCCAGCTCTCTGAGCCTGCTGAGCTGCTGCTGGAGCTCCGTGGGGTTTTGGAACTTCCTCCTAGGCTCAAAGGTTGCAGCAGCTGCTTAAGCACTTTTTTCCGTCCTCGTTTTGCAAAGGGAAAAAAATGTTAGCATGGTTGCTGCTACACTTGTTCGGTTATGGTGCTGGAAAAAAAAAAAAAGCTTATTGAATAGCTTTAACAATCAGATGTCTGCAGAGCCTTTGAGTTGTGCAGGTGGTATTATAACTCTAACCTTTGGGAAAAAAAAATACATTTTAGTTTCTTGTAATTTTTTATTCGATAAAGATTTAACTGTGTGAATCATCCACCCACCTGCTCTTCTGGGTTTTAATGTTGAAAATTGTGGTTTGATTCAGTTTTTGGTTTTTCCTTATTTCATTTAGTCCGGAGCTGATTTAAAAAATAAATAAATCAGGAGCTTCTGAATTTGAGCTTTGAGATTTCTCGCCATCTCTGTCTCTGAGGCTGTGCCAGGGTGATGGTTTGGGTGTTCCTCACTGAACTGAAGCTGTGTTCACGTTTGTGGCTGAGTGGCTCTGGAAACCTAAGCAGTAGCTCAGGGATTAGCATTTAGTCCGGGCACTAGACACCGTAACATCATGCAGTATTTAAGTATTACAAAAGCTGCAGGTTTTTTCTTCCTTCACACCTGCACTCGTTACTATTTTCCCTCTTTGTTTTGACTGAATGTGAAATAGAAGTCAAAAAAGAAGCCAGGCAGGTGTAAATGTTGCTTCACCAGCAACCGAACAGGCGTTACCTGCAGAAGCCCAGTGAGCAGGAGAAAGAAAGAGCAACTTAGTTCTTTCCCTTTCTTTCTCTGTCTCCATTTAGCCTCTTCCCAAGTAGCTCATGCCTCAGAACTGTTCAAAATACAGAGCATGTTGGCAGAGTGTTTCAGATTCTCCACTTTCATTGCTTCCTTACTAAACACCCGTTCTGTCCCTGTTTTCTAATAAACCACAGATGGCCAAGCTAAGCCCCTGTGGAGCTGGAGAACAGAGGGAGTGGTTGCCAAAGGCGAAGCAGGGATGTCAGATTCTTCTCTCTGACCTTATCCTCAGCGTTTCTTCCTTATGGACAGTAGTTGATAGGGTTTGGGGGTGGGAAGATGATAGAACTCATTTGAGGCTGTGGGATGCCATAAATAAGTTCTCCAACACTTCAGTCTGGAGGTAACTGATCGATCAGACCTGAGATTGCTTAGTTTGGAAAAACCAATTGCCTGGCATTTCTTTCTTCCAGGGCACTACGAGAGAAGATGCCTCCTGTCGTGGGAGCCGTGACACAGTTTCATGCATGGTGGCATATTCTCACAGGCCTGGGCTCTTACCTTCACATCCTGCTAAGGTAGGAAATGTTTTCTGAACTGGTTGATCATATTTTAGGAGGTTTTCAAGGTTCATATTTATTTCTACATGTATTGATCAGAAGAGCAGGCAAATAATTCCTTACCTAACTGGTGTGAGCTTTCCTTTCCTTTTTGTAACTGATCTGTAAACTCTGCAGAAGTAATGTATGTTCTTCAAAATATAATCATCAGTCTTTAAATAGCCGTGATTCTTCAGGAAAATGCAATTGACAAATGGGAACTCTAGCAGTTAAACTGCGAAAGGATTTGACAGTATATTTCAGAAATAAAAGCTATTAATATCTTTCTGTTCTTCTGCAGCAATCCTCAAGTGTTTAAATAAGGTTTAATTTTAGAAATGTAACTCGTCTTTCTGATAAGCACTGTCACTCCCGAAAACAAGCAGGCATCATGCTGTAGTGCAGAAGGGGTGACAGCTGGAGTGGTTGGAGCAGAGCTCTTCCCAGAAGTGCAGGATGTTAGCTGTAGAAGAAATCTTCAAATGTTTAAGAGCCTAAATTAGCAAGTCTGCAGCCAGCAGATTTTTGTCTTTTTTTTTTTTTTGCTCTATACCACCATCTACTGGAAGCAAGAATGAGAGCAGAATGCAAGAGGGAATCTGAAGGATGTGTGTAGTATGTTCAATATCTAAATATTTTTTTACCACTTAACTGTAAGAGAATCTCTAGCAGGTACATTCTACATAGTTGAGAAAACGTGATCACATAGTTTGAACACCATAGCCAAAGTTTTCCCAGCGTGCTGCACAGAGAAACAATTTGTTTTCTCTTTCCTTGGGGAACGCACAGATGCCTGATGTCTGTGCCAACCCAAGGAACCGTGTGCTATCTCTGCAATCGTTTCCCTGGTGTTTTCTCAGCCACACTGTGGCATTGCTTATGTACCTGGGGAAACATCCATGTAAAAAGTGAGGTCAGGCTCAGGTCTGCTGAGAAAAAGAGGATAGGTCAGAACAGAAATGAGATACAGAACCCAGCCATGCTTTTTTATTATTATTTTTGATATCTGCTATATTTTGTGATGCACTGATGAAATTACACCCTTCCAAACTGACAGGCTCTAACCCCTATTCAGTCTTTTTTTTTTTTTTTTTTAGCAGAGAGAATTTACTTCTCTGGTTTCTCTCCGACTAGACACATACGTGGTAGTATAGATCAGTTTCTAATAGAAATGTAGCACAGTGGGATTCACCATAGGCTAATACCCCCTATTTAGCATAAACTTAGGCAGAATGGGTAGTTCTGCAGTCCCAGAAGCAGTTATTTTCTAGCTGGAAAATAAAACCGGGATCGGGACATAATTATTACTTTGTATGCTGTTTTATGCATCGAATTTCAAGCACACTCTCCTTCTTTCCCTCAGTTTATACACAAGGACACTTTTCCTGAAACACAGGCCAAAGGTGAAGGTAAGCAACCAGTGTTTTGTGTCTGTTCATGAGCTGCAACATTCAGGTGTCTTGGGCCTGAACATGCGCTGAGGCTTGCTTTTTGTGCCTCTTTAGGGATATTGTCTTCAATTTCTAGTTGCATTCTGAGAAAAGCAGCTAAAATATTGTTAACAGTTGGCTTTCTATTCTGGGAGAGGTGGTATTCCAAGAAATCTTTCCACTTTGTGTTTTTCTTTTAACAGTTTCTGTTTGGGATATGGCCTGTTCTTCTCGTGGAGCCACCCAAGAAGCTCTGACCGAGGCCCAGGCAGCCCCACGCGACCACCTGAATAAAGCGATTCAACAATTGCCATGGCTGGATTGTCAAAATCATGGATCTGTTCGAGTATCGTTGCTATCAAAGGACTTCTCGGTGTTACTAGGCCTGCCAGCCAGAGCAGAGCGAGGAGCTGGCACGCTAGGGAGATAACGTTTAGTACAGCTTTATTCTAAGTTGTTAAAGTTTAAGACACAATATTTTTCTGTATATATTGTATAGCTGATGATACTGAGCTAATATTTCGTGCTGGTCACAGAAAACTAACCATTTTTGGAGTGGGTTGAGTAAGTTTTTCATTCAGTTGTTGTTCTTTCTGTGGTTTAAACTAATATTAGTAACTGAATGATAAAAAAAGAAACAAACAGGTCATTGATGGCCAAGCTAAGTATCTGTGTGGCCTATAGTGAGCTGAATGCTTAACCTGAACTACTTTAATCTTGCACTTTTATACAATTAATGAAGTCTGTAATGGTTAATTTCTGGCTTTATTCTAGCCTTGCTTCTCCACAGCCTCCTTTGCTGTTTAAGTTTTAAGCAGAAAAGGTTGGGATACATGTGCCATTTAGGTAATTTTGTACCAAGTTTCCATTTTCTCTTTAGTCCAGCTGGGGTGCATCCTGGAGGATGTTCCAGGGTGTGACCAGGAGAAGACATTTACAGTGGTGAAGCATTATAAGGGTTCTTGTTTGTGTATGGGAACAGAAATCCTGTTTTGTTTGACCAGTGATCCATCAGGAGACTGCAGGATGACTGTATAACCACAAGAAACACTTTTTAAAACGTTTCATTATTTACATGCCTTCCTTTTCTCTCCCTGCTTTTCATTCCCTGTGTTCCGTTCTTAGTACAGGTTGACAAGCACCACATATGTGTGCTAGATCAGCTTTGAATTCATGCCTTTCCTATTTAACGAGTCTTAAATATTGGTCTGACTTTCAGAATCATCTTCGTATTCAGAAATAATGAAGAAAGAGTTAAAGAACAAGATTTACATTGAGGAACTCCCAAAATATAATTGGCAGTATTTTGATTGCTTGCTCTTAATCTTTCCAGCACACTTTTTTTTTTTTTTTGAAGTTGAATACTTTTTTTAAACCAACCTTTGGCTCTTAATCGGGTACAAACCCTCTGATTTCTGCAGCTCTTATCTACTCAGCTGATCAAAGTTCATCAGTAAGCATAAAGAAAACATGGAACTAACAGTTTTTCGAAATATACCTCATATTGGAGGCTCTTGTTTTGTCTCCCCAAGATCTTGGGGCGACGACTGGAGTTTGTCTCCAGGCCTCCTGGCTGCCATGCTATGCAATTTCTGATGCTCTGAGGGCTTTGTCCTTCTTGCTGTGAAGGAAAAAGGGAAATGCTCGGACTGATTGGAACTCCTGTTAGGTATTGATGTAAAACCTGCACGCAGCAGCAAGGCATGGTTCGGTAGCTATAAAGCTGTCTCCAGGATCACAAAATTCTGGCTAATGTAAGCTTCCTTGCTCTGACTAGTGGAAGAAGTGAGACCGAAATCTGTGTTGTACAATCAGTGATAACTAAAATAGTCTTTTCCCTTTATTTTTTTTCCTGCTTGTGACTTAGCTGCATCCTCAGTGTCCATCAGTAGCACCTCTGCTGGCACACGTCTCCAAACAAAACCATTGCTTTTAGTTCTGGTGACTGGCCCTGAACTCCTGAGATCATGCAGACCCAAACTCAGGGCTGGAACAAGACCTTGAGTGGCTTCAGCAAGGTTTAAGCACATGCTGAAAGCAGTATATTTGCAACCTGTAATCAGCAAACCGCTATAAAATTCCTGAACAAAATTTTCAACCAAATCTGTTGTCAGTAGGCTCCAGTTCGGGGTCTTCAAACCAAAAGGTTTGAAGAACAACTAGCACAGAGGGAGGAAAATGCTGGTTTGGACCAGGTGTCTGTAATTACCCAGCAGGCTTTTTTTTTGTTGTAAAGAGATTTGAGAGCCATTTCTAAAACGTAGCTTAAAAATAAGTGCCTGCCTATTCACCTCCAGGCTCTTTCAAGCGTGTTTCTGCACCCTGTATCTTATTTTCTTGTTTAGTATGTTTACATGCTCCCATAAATTAGGGAAAACATCCTGTAAAAGGAGCGGTGCAGCAACTAGATGCATCAGCAATCACAAGTGACGTCTGCTCGACGTGGTATTATTTTTAAGGCAACGAACAAAACCTGTATTTTATTGCCCTTAGTTTTGTTTCTGGAGGATCTGGGGGGCTCTGCTTTTAACTTTTTCATAACTGCAGAAGTCAGTCTTCTAAAAAGCCACTTTCTTAGTGATGAGGCATCTCTCTAATGGCATATTTTAAAGAAATTTGTGGATTCTCCCACACGCTCGGAACAAGGAAGTATACAGTGTTTTTTTTTCTGGTCCTGTTGAATTGTTAGGATTAAAAAAAAAAAAGAATAAATGGAAAAGCTCTTAATTTTATGCTGCTGTTAGCTTTTCATTCAGATATCCTTTGTCACGGATGGTTTTTATCTTAAAAGCTTGTGCAAATTGTGTTCTTCTTTCATTCCAAATGACCGAGGGCCACCCCCTCCCAGTAGCCTTTCTTTCAGGTTCTGTTAGACCCTGAAGAATGTAATTTATATGCATATCCTTCTGAGCATAAGTAATCTAAAATTATGGGTGCTTTGGGTTGACTGCCTTATTGTGATGTTGAAAACGGCAAGCCAGTTCTAGCTTCGTGTCACTGCAACTCAGAATAACTTTTCTAGTGCCTGGAAAGACAGAAGTCTTCGCGACTGTCACTTGTTAGATGTCTGTTAGGCTGCTTTTTATTTCCATCACTTGTATTACGTGCTGAGTTTTTTTTTTTCCCTACAGTCTTAAGAGCAGCATATCCCAAACTTTTCTTGCACTACAACTTAAAAGGTGGGTCAGCTTTGATCCTGGTCTTTTGAGGAGGATTCAGACAGCAGCTACTTTAAAGGGGATTGCAGAAATAGCAGGTGGCTTTAAAATGAATCCTACAGGCTGTGTTGGACAGACGTAATGACAGTGATAAACTCCTCAGTTCTTCAACATCTATGAAGAACCAGGAAATTATCGCCTTGAGACCATCAGCTTGGCACAGATCAGCAGCTGAGAACTTCTTCCTTGCAAGTAGTAGAAAAATGTCAAAATAACTCTCCCAATACAGATCAACTCCATACTTGACGCCGGGAATCAAGGTTCTCTGGATTCAGCTCCAGACCTACATTTTCAGCTCTAAAGAGGAGACATGAGAAGGAGAAATCTGCCACCAGGAGGCATCTTGTCTGCGTTTTGGAGGTGGTTTTTGAAGCTGGCTCGCAGTATTAGTCATCTCCGGACCTCATCCTGTTGCTTTTCCTTTTAGCACAAGGAAGTTGTGCTACCAGCAAGTGTTTCGAAGACTACCCCGTAGTCAGAATTGGATTATGCAGTCTGTCACTTGCCAATCTACCTCTGTGGTGTATTGTTCAATGCCTGTGCCCTTAATTATGCCTGCCTGACAGTGCAGGTGCTCAAGCCCTGAGGCTTGCAGCAGTGTTGTGTGGATCTGTGGCTTTCTGCTCACACTGCAGAGATGTCCTGACTCGTTTGGTGGCTGTCAGGCTCCAAGGTTTTGCTCTGTCTGCTCTGCCTCTGCTCCCAGGAGTCTGGTTTAGAAGGGGATGTGAGTAGGAGGACTTCAGTGCAGACAGGTGAAGTGAAACCTTTTTGGCACTGTATTGTTACACTTCAAGCTAAAATAACATGTACAACTTCTTCGGCGTGACTTTGGAAGAGATGTGATAGGAAATACTGTTCTGTAATTAGTTTTAATTCTCTCCTAATCTGATATTGGGCTGTGTTCAGCCCCAGCCTGCCTTGTTTGGCTGATGGGAAACTGTGTGACTTGAAATGTTTGATTCTTTGGCCGTAGTTTGCTCCCTGCACCTGGTTTCTAGCAGCTGAAGGAGTTTTTCAGCAAACTCATCCATCTGAAACTCATAACAAGAGTGTCCTTCCAGTATCATCTTGTGTTTTTCACTGCCACCACCACGTTTTTTAGCTTGTTGTCCAGAATTCCAGTAATACAACTTTTTAAACCTATTTCTCCCAGTGGATTTTTTTTTGTATTTAATATCAGGTGGTAACAATTGAGTGTAATGCCTGGGAGTGGAAGATGAGCTGCAGTGAAGCAGCACTGCTGTTTTCCTCCAGGACACCTCAGAAGCCAGGAACACACTATCACTTCGTTGGACTGTGTCCCATAATGTTAATTGACATATCCAGGTAAAAAAGTTGCATCCTTAAAGAAATCTGATCTTCCCATCTGCACGTTTCAAGTAGGCAATGGGAGGCTTTAAATGCAAAGCACTGATTAACTGTGCGGCTTTCTTAGGAAAAGGGATAAATGATGGAGACTTTATTACCCAGGAGAAGCGAAAGCCAGAAGGAGATTAAGAAATTGTGCATGGAAAGAGAATAACAAAAGATTAAGCACAGAATCCCATAGTATTACGTCAACCACCCTCTTGGTATCTGCACTTTAGACACTTGTGTAACAAGCTCGAATGTTTTGCTGTTTTTACATTTAGCTCTTCATGCTGCCTGCAGTCTTTGCTGCAGAGGTGATGGAATGATGTTACATTCAGTTCGTTAGAGCTTTTTCAGCTGCTTTATGAGGCTGGAACATGACATGAGTTGTTTCAAACACGAACGAAAATGCTTTTTGTTTTGGGATCCTGTAAGGTAACTGCAGAGATCAAAGTGGGTAACCATTGAGATCGAGTTGGGGTTTGTTGGTTTGTCTCGCCCAGCCACTGCCTGCTGCTGCCAAGTGCCTGACCTCTCTTTTGCAAGTCTTGTCCGAGAGCTGAGGCTGTGTTTTTCCCCAGGGTCTGCAGACAAGGTCCTTGGTAGGTTTGTATTTCATGAAATACTCTTCTAATGCAGGAGTTGAAGTGCTCCTATTTCTAATTGCTTTGCAGAAACGTAGCTCTGCCCTTCCTGGCTGCCACCATGTGCCTCCCGTCCCCATGTCCCTGATGCTGGTGGCTCATTCCCTAGTCTGAAAGCTGCCTGCTGGATTTAGCCCCACAGCTGCCCCTTCATTTTACATCACTGACAGGCAACGTGAAGGCACGACAGTCAAACGAGCACTTTGTGCAGAGCCCCATTTGCTTACTGGAGCTCCCTGCCTGACACTTTTGAGGGCAGGATTGGTGCCTGAATCTCACGCTTCCCTTCAGACCTCTCCATTTACAGGTGCTGAAGGCATCTAGCTTGGAGTAAGCCCCTAAGGGCAGATTTAAGACAAATCAAGGTGAGAACCCAGCTGCTGCACGACCCTAAACCAGTGCCTGCACAACGCTGAGCGCACACCTCGCACACGTTGAGTCCATGTGCTCAGAGCAGGTGGTTGAGATTTTGTGAATAAATCTTGACCAAAGGCTCTTCCCATTGCTTGTCCTTCCTCGCCAGGACACGGGAAGAGCTGTAAGCACAATCCAAGTTCACCCTCCTTTCCCCAAAGCCCTGGAACAACGTAGATCTATTTCTTAAAACCAACATTGTATAGAGATGGGCTTTTCAATGTGCTCATAGAAATCACTTTGGTAGCATGATTTGCTAAATTAACACCTTGGGCAGTCCCTGCAGAAGACTAAATATTACTCCCTGGGCTCTGGAAGAGAATTTCCAGCAGCGTAAGCAGTAGTTACTCCTCAGACTGATCAGAAATTGTTTGTTTGTTTGTTTTTTTCCTCCTCTTGATCTTCCAAACTGACGTTGACTCTCTGATGTTGACCATTGAGCTCAGCTTCGTGCACTGATGCCTTGTGTACTGTCATAGCACATAACATCTGCCCACCTCTAAGGGGATGAGAAATTCCCGGCGCGTTATGTGACCAAACTTTTTAACGTCGACACTATCGGCTGTGATATTTTTGTCCCGAAATTCAGCATATCGTTGCCGAGATGGAGAAATACACTGTGACAGGTGAAGAGCAGTTGGCTGGTAAAACACAGCTGCATCCAGCAACGTTTATTGACAATTTTGATAATCCTGAACTGCTTCTTTGTACCAGAGCAACTGGGTAACTAACGTTAGGCTTCTCTGTATCAGCCCGTCTTGTTTTGCGAACACGGTAGCTTTGGATATTTAATGTGTTTCATTTGTTACTCATGCTGCAGTCGAGCACTAATTTGTGTCTTTATAGTTCAAAATTATTAAAGAAATTTGTTTTAAATACAACTTGTCCTGGGTGGTTTTTGGCTTTTGGGTTATGCGGGGCTGGTTGGTTGGATGCTGGTGGGTGGCTGGGTGCCTTGGGTTAGATTGAAAGCCCCCACCAAGCATCATCTTTGTATATCCAATGAAAAAGAAATTCCATTTTTCACAAAGCCCCAGTTACGTTAGCTCATCTCTGTGGTTATGCCAGCTCGTTTTTGGCAATTTTGCTCCCGTGGTGCAGAAATAAAACGCACAAATGAAAGCACAGCACCTTGCTTGGAGGCATGGTGCTGCCTGCAGGCAGTACAGAACCTTCTCTCCCTCAAAGCCCAACCCATTAATCGGGGATTTCGGGTGCCTGACACGGGTGGGAGAGCAGGAGATGGGAGGCAGGTGAATGTGTTGGCAGCTTAGAGCTCACGTTTTGGCACTCCTCAACCTCATCCTTTTCCTCTTTCTTTTTCAGTGGCAAAGGAGGAGAATCGCTGCACGGCAGGACCTCTCCAAGCAGAAGCCGTGGACCAGTAGGCACTTACCAGCAAGACAGCACACCCCAGCAGCCAGAATCAGGTACAGATTTGGGATATTTCCCCCCACTTCTGGTCCATCCTACTCAGAAGGGCCCATTTCTTCCTGCTCACATCCCTGCAGCTGCGTCTCTTTTAGGAACAGCCTTGAATTAAGATACTTAGGGGTCAAACCACAGAGCAGGAAACCTCATAGCAGTGGGGTAAATGCCTATGGGGAACCTCACTTCCCATGACACTGTTCCCTGCAGTTCAGAGCATAGAGAGCCTGGAGGATTGGAGGTGCGTGCCCCAAATCCCCAGGTGTGAATTCTGCCTTTAAGTTTTTTGTCCCAGCCTTTGGAGCTCCAATATTTCTCCTGCAACCCATACGATTAGCAGATCTGACACAGAGAGACCAGGAACCGTGTTGGATGGGTCACCTTGGCTTTGCTTCCTTGGTGCACATCCAAAATAAAGCCAAACTTTGCCTGAGTGCCAGCCTGGGTGAAGCACAGTTTTGCACTAGCCCAGAACTGGGAAATACTTCAAAATTTCCCTTGGGGAAAAAAAAAAAAAAAAAAAAAAAAAACATCGTGGTCCTATCAAAGACCTCCTCCCAGCCAGAAAATTCAATTTCAAGCTTGACAATTCGCTTACAAACCTGCAAATTTACTTGCAGCTTTCTTAATGTTCAACCCCCCCTCTTTGTTTTTTTTCCCTTGTTTCTCTTTACTCAGCCTGTTAAAATGCTAAAACCGAAGCTATTTGTTTGCAATACTTCAATCCCTGTGCTTCTAACCAGGGGCACACGATGGAGATGGTCACTGCTTCACTCTGAGACGGGCTCCCTAATTTGCATGCGGGAGGCACACGCCGGCTTAATGGAATTAGCAGTAATTAACACCACCAGAGCTCAGTGCGTGCAGCTCCGGGGGACCGTGCACCCACAGCACGGCACCCGGTGACACTGGAGCCACCGAGGGCTCTGATTCAGTGGCTCCTCATCACCGAGCTCAGGTGGGTGAATGTTAATGAGCAACAGCTCGCATAAACCTGCAGAAATGGAATTAATTGAGTTACCCTGCTGATGTAAACTGATGTCAGACCCCTAATATTTATAGGCCGGCTGCAGAGCATCGTTGCTGCGGTGATTTATGGGGATGCCTAACTTTAGCAGTGCTTTTTCCTCGTAGGTGCCGTGTTGACTCACTGCCGGGCAGCGGAACGGAGGAAATTGGTTAAAATATCGCAGCGTTGTGTAAACCTGGGGACAAGTCCAACTTCTCAGGTAAGAGAAGCAGCAAACACCGCAGCCAAATCCACTCTGCACCTGGGCAGACCTGTCCTGGCACCCGTGAGTCACTGCTTAACAGCATTTTGTTAGTCTGAAGTCTTCAAGTTTTTTTGTTGTTGCTGTTTCCTTTTATTTTTTTTCCTATTTGTTCAAGGCTTTTCTCTAATCTTCTTGTTTTTAACGTCCCGCCTAGGCTGGAATGAAAACAAGATTAAGAGCTAGTTAGAAGATTAAAACCAGCAATGAACCTGCGAGCCCCGACAGCAAAGCAGAGCTGTCGCAGGAGGGATATTTTTATACAGCTTATTTGAAAAGCAAACAAACTCCAGCTGGGTTTTCGTGCTGCTGGCATTAATTGAAGTGGGAGGGCTGATTAACGGCTTGCTGCTGAAGATCTCTCTGCCACATTCCCCCGAATTTGACTGTTTGCTCTCAATTTGCTTTGCAGCTGCTGTACAGCTCAGTGGGTTTGTCCATACGCTCACATCCCGTGGTGTTCGTGGTCAGGATGGAGTAGAAGCCCTTTTTGTGGACCATGGACCAAGAGGACTCATCCTCATCAGCTACCAGCACGTGGCACATCAGCAGCTCTACATCAGGTCTGTACGCCCATCACAGCCACCCCAGCCCAACCCCACACTTAAATCCTGGTACAGACCAGGTCTTTGGCAAAATCAGTGTTTAAACACCACTCAGGACATCTCTTTTTAATAAGAGGACCCCAAATCAGTGTAGAAAAGCATTTAGAAACAGCACCTTGTAGACAAGGGCTGGAAAAAATGTGCAATGATTGGGGTGCCACCTTCAGCCTGGAGAAGAGAAGGTTCTGGGGTGACCTTATTGCAGCTTTTCAATACTTAAAAGGGGGTTATAAAAAAGATGGAGAGCAGCTTTTTGCTCAGGCAGACGACGATAGGACAAGGGGGAATGGTTTTAAACTGAACGAGGGGAGATTTAGATTACAGGTTAGGAGGAATTTCTTCACTCAGAGGGCGGTGAGGCACTGGATTGGGTTGCCCAGAAAGGTTGTGAGTGCCCCATCCCTGGAGGTGTTCAGGATCAGGTTAGATGAAGCTCTGCACAACCTGATCTAGTGGGTGGCATCCCTGCCTATGGCAGGATGTTGGAACTGGATGGGCTTTAATGTCCCTTCCAACCCAAACTGTTCGGTGATTCTATGATAATTTTATGCCTGGGGTCTCCTGAGGGACCTGGGGTTCAGAACAAGAAGCTGTGGGGCTGCAGAGAGGTGTTTCCAGAGCAAACTGATGCTTATGAGCACGACCCTGCTCTGCCAGCTCAAGGTCTGGATGATTTAATCATCTGGGTGAACAGACCTGGCCGTTCTTGCCTTGAGCAGATTTACCAGTTGTGGACAGAGTGGTGGAAGTAAGAACTTTGTGCAGGGGTGGTGCTGAGTATCTGGAGCAGAAACATCCTCAGGTGGGAAGGCTGGAGGTGGAGGAGAGCATCCCTAAATGGTGTTCTGCCTGAATCCATGCCCAGCCTGGCTGTTTGAGCTTCAACATCTGGGTTCAGGGAGAGAGCAACACAGGAAAACACTCACTGACAGCCAAGCTGTATCTTAAATACATGTGTAGAAAGAGCCTGATGAGATCAGAGATTGCTCCTGTCGCGAGCAGCTTGAAATCAGGAGTCAGCAAATCAGGGAGAGCAGAAGGAGCCTTGAGTGTTACCTGTCAGAGGTGTGACAGTGGTTGGAAGCCTCACACGTTGCTCTCAGAAAGAAATGTGCATCTATACGAGCTGTGAAGCTCTGGTCCCTGTCGATAGGAAGCGTGTAACCCTGCTGCATTTGCATTAAAGGCCTTGCTTCTTGTTTTCTAGGCTGCTGAGAAGCACTGGAGATGCAATTTCTGCAGTCGCCTGCCCTGCCCCAGGTATTAGGCTGCGGGATTCCCTCCAGCAGAGCCTGGTTTGACATCAAATCCTCGCCTACAACTGAAGCAACACCTCATCGATTCGAGCCCTGCGTCCCAGACCGAGCTGTTTCACAATTAACGCACCCTCCAGGTAAAAACCGGGCTCTGGCTGCCACCAGGCTCTGTTAGCTGCAGTGCTGCGTTTTGGAAGGATGCTGCCACCTCCTGCGTATCAGCACAACTGCAGCAGGCAAGCGGGAGCCTTTGGGATTCGTTCTGCAAAGGTTGCCTGTGACTTTGGCTGAAAGGTTGAGCCCGGGCTGCTTTGCTTTTGGGGCAGGGGTGGAAATGGGACTGGTAACAGCAGCGAGCAAGGGAATCCCTCTTCTTCCATGAGCTGCACCACCCAGGGATGCTTTCAGAGCTGGTAATGCTTTGGAAGATCTTGGGCATACAGCAGGAGTACCAAAAATGGGTGATAACAGGGCCCTGCTTGTTCCCCCTGCTAACAAGAGGGACACAGGCTAGGTGTTCCCTCAGCCATATATAGGGTCAAGCCTCTTCAGGCCAGCATGATGCCCCTGTTCCCCAGCTGCAGCCCCTGAGCTACCATGCCCTAGCATGACAGGATGGGGCCTGAAACCTCCAGGATGCCACAGTCTCCTCCAGCTGCATGCTCCAAAGCTAGATTTGGGAAGTTGTCCCCAATATCTGAGTTAGTTACAAGCCCTGAGGCTTCTCTCCTTGTAAGAAGCTGAGCGCTAAGAGATTTTCTCTTTATTTTTCCCTGAACTATCAGTGTCGCTGAACTGGATTTGTTTTCTTTTTCCTGTCTTCAAAATGAAACCAGCTCTGTACTTCTGAAACCCTTTTTACCCTCTCTTTTTGGCATCCATGCCCTCTTGCTGGCACAGACAGATAGTGATGAAAAGACATTTCATGGGCCGAGTCCATTATTAGCCCTAATAAAACGCCATGTGCAGGGAGGAAACAATTTGGATGCATTGGGATGGATTACATCCTTGGGGTGGATTTATATCCTTGGGCAGGATGATTTCTCAGCATCAGACACAGCAACGGGACTTTCTGTGCTATGGGAGTACTGCTGGGTCTGTTTTTTTCTCTTTTTCTCTTTTTTCTGAGAATTTAAGGCAAAGCTAATCATTTTGTCTCAGCTTTCCCTTACCGAGTGCTCTGCACTACGCACTTGTTTGCTAATTAATCCAGCCCTTTCTTTTCGGCTGGCAAATGAGCGAGATCACTTGAATTATTAAAAGTGGGGAGGATTTGGGATTATAAGGAGGGCCATATAATTAGCTAGCTGGCTGCTGTCCCCTACTGCTAGCCTGGGATATTAATTATTTTCATGCTGATTCAGAGGGAAGGTAGCCAAGGTCTGAATCAGCCCTGCCACTTCTTGCAACACCTGCCTTTTCCCTAGATCTCCTCTCCAAATCCCAGCCAGCTCTGGCAGCGTCTCGTTAATGAGATCAGGCTTAATTGCAGCACGAGCCAGGGAGGGTTGCAGAGTCGGGAGAGAGTTCGAGTAACTGCTCTTCCTTCCACATTGCAAAGCAGGAAATGCTGCCTGCAACCAGGTGATATTTTCCTCTTTATGCCAATTAACAATTTTTATTTTTATGTTTTTTACAGGATCAGAGGGTTCCTTGCCTGTTGCTCTGCCAACGAGCTGCGAACCAGCCTCCCTTAATGAAACTGAAACCCCAAAAAGGCCAAATTCTCACCTCGTGTCCACTGCCCGGCAGCCAGGACATGCGTCCTTGTGCGAGTGAAAGTGGATATGACACAGATTTAATGAGGCAACAGCTTCCTGGCAGCGCCACAGGCTGCTCAGAAGCTGTATCATTATTCATTTACTTGACTAATGCAGTCGTGTTGTGAAAAAGAGAGGGGAAAGCTGTCTGAAGTGCTGAGTACACGAGAAGGCTTCTGAAAAACAGAGCTAATCCAGCAGGGTCTGTTGGAGCTTAGGCATGGAGCACGTCTTAGTCTGGAGGTTGGTGGAGAAACCTTCCCAGGGACTCTCTGAAGGTTTAGGGACCTCATCTCCAGGCTTTCAGTGTCTTTTGAGCTCTTAAAATGATGTTCGTGTCTGTTTCCCAAACAGGTAGCAATGAGAAACTGCCACGTCAAAGATCTCTGCAAAAGTACATTCGGGAACATCTCCTACATGCTCATGTTGGCTTCAGTGCAGTATTTTCCCCTAAAAGGTAAGACTCTTGGAGGAGCACAGGGCAGAAGCCAATTTGTAGACACAGCAGGATTTCTGAGCGTGCATTTGGGGGCTGAACCCAAGGCAAGGCTCAGGGAGGCTCCCAGGTCCTTACAATTCCTGCTGTGAGGGGTCAGATGAGGGTGCTGAGCTGAGGATATGTGGATATGAGGATACGAAGATGTAAGAATCACATCGCTGTAGCTTTCCCCACACCCTGGGCTCCACCTTCGCAGCCAGCCTGGCTGCAGCACATCAATCTCGATTGCGCTAACGCTTTTATGCTCGCCTCCTGTTTGCAGCTAAGCTGATGAGGCTGAGATGTAGAGGTGACCTCTCTAATTAACACCCAGGCAACCTGCCCTGAGCTCTGTAATCCTAGACAGGCCCCGGGAAGAGAGGTTGGAGCTGGCTTCCTCGCCGAGTGCAGGAGTCAGCACGAGTGCTGGAGCTGGACGTGCTGATGTTGGGCTGACAGGGTACGAGGAGATGCCCTAGGAGCCTCTAGGACACGTCCTAGAAGTGTTTCTTGAAAAAATATCTCATTCTGTAAAACCATTCCCCTCGGAAATGGGGAGGAAAATCCCAAATGATGAGTTCTTGTGGGGTGAGCATGATGGAATCACGGCTCCTGGTGCAGGAGGGAGTGTTGGGACACAGGGCCAATGTGGCAAATTGGCCTCAGCCCTTCCGAAACCTCTCTTTCTTCCCTTGAAATGCAACAAATGCAAGTGGCCAACACCCTGGTGGGTGTTAGAGGTAGCTCAGTGAGAAATACATTGAAGAAAATGAGTAAAGCCCTGGGGAAATGCGTCCTTTCGGAGCCACTGGCTACTCAGCTCACTGTCTTGTGTTGCAGGGGATCCTCTGAGTTATCTTCATCCCCGTCTTCTTCCAGGAGCTTTGCTCTACATGCACGACAGCAAGGATTTGGGGACGGAGGACAACCCAAAAGTGCTACCCGAGGGTCACCACGTGGAAGGACAAAGTCTCTACTACCAGGTAGTGCTCGATATATCTCCAAATGACTTGAAGCAGAAGGATGCTGCTACCAAGGAAGAGTTTGGACTCAGTTATGCCAGCGTACATCCAAAGTTGGCATCCCCTGATGCCAAGAGCTCTGCCTTCGTCAGCTCTCCGCATTCTTTTGGGAGCTGCTGGAAATGGCATCCTCAGACATCTGCCTGCTCAGAGCTGAAGGCAGAGATGGCAAAGGGAAAACAAAAAAAAAAAATCACAACTGTATGTTTTTTGGCTCTGGGGTGAAGAGACTCAGCAGGAAAATTGCCTCAAAAGCTCTTGGCAGGACCGTTTGGAGTCAGCATTTGTTGGGGCTGCTTCTGGCCTGCCATAAAAAGCGCAGCGGTGCCGTTTGCTCCTTTCCTTCCTCTGCTCCAAGGAACATGGGCTTGCTGGCAAGCCGCTCGTTTTCCAGACTGTCTTGTTTCTCGGCATGGAAAACCCCATGGAAAAAAAAAAATAATAAAAAAATCAAGGTCATTGCCTGGAGCCCTTCTTATAACGCTGTCTGCTCCCCTGCAGAGGTCTGTTCCTGCCAAAGTCCTGGAGGGTTTGTGGCCAGGAGATGGCATTGGCTTCTCAGTGCTTGTGCCCTGAGAAACCCCAGCAAGGTGGTTTCTCAGCCTTTATCTGCTAATATTGCAGCACAGTCCCTAGACCAGGCTTTGCAACGCCACCTTTTTTTTTTTTTTTTTTTCAGCACTTGGACTTTTTCCTCCTGAGGTGGCTTATTCGTAAGCAGGCGAGTGCTTGCTCAGGAGATCAGATCGATGCTGGGTAGGAAAGCTGTTAGAGCAAGCCCAGCTCTCCTCTAATTACACCCTGCTGAGCAAAAGGCTGCTCAGACAGCCAGGGCACAGGGCTGGGGACTGAGCCTGGTTCCCCACGCTTGTGGGATATGGTTTCACCCACCAGGATTTGGGATTTAGGGTGAGAGTAAATGCTCCAGCAGCCCCATGCTGGGTTTGTGCTACCTGAGTCACCTTCTGTAGATAAAACCACACGCTCCTTTCCCTTGGGGTTGCACCGATGTGGACAATTAAGAGCTGAACACAGTGGTGTGGATTTCCCGGCAGAGATCCCAATTAGCACCAGCTCGTTTCCAGCCAGCACCACCAGAAGTCACGGCCGATGTGATCGAGGCAGGGGGGTGGGTTCCAGCAGGGTTTTCCACGTGTTATGCTTTCCACCTTTCTCTTTTTGCAGAAAGAACAGGGAAAAAAATCATCTTTTTGACACGGATCCTTGGATGGAAAGGTTTCTCCTGGCCTAGCACTGAAGATCTGGTCATCGTGGTTCTGCTTTCCCACGGAGGACCATGCAGTAAGTACGAGGTTTGTTGGCTCCCACTCCCTCCAAGTTTTACATATCCAGTTCACTGCTCTTCCTCCCCCTGCAGAGCACCTCCGCAGCCACCCCTGGAGCATCTTCACGGAAGAAGCATCACCAAATTCAGTCCCAAACCAGACTTGCATTAGGCTGCACATCTCCATCCCGGGCAAGGACAGCAATCTGGCTTCAACCCCCAGGGGTTGCCCGTACCAAAAAGCAAGAGGAGCTGCTGGAGTTTCCCCTTTTTTTGCCACCAACCCTTTGGTCCCGCTGACCCCCATAAATAAAGCAGGTAATTAACGCCCTTCTCCTCCCACCAGTGATGGGCTGTGACCTTGAACGACCTTGCTTAATTCAACTTTTCTCGACCAGCTCTTTTCGACGAGCGAATAATTGAACGTCCTCGTGACCCCGGCCTTGTCTCTCTCCTGCCAACTGGCTCTGCAGTGTCAACGAACAGCAATAAATAAATACATATCTGCAGAGGGACCTAAATGACTCCCATTACTGGAGCATCTGAAGGCCTGCTTAAATAAATCAAGTGAGGAGGAGATGATGCTGCAATCATGTGGAGGGGAAAAGGAGAGAATACATTACTGGCATTCCAGAGGCGGCGAGCGGCATTGGCAAATTCGGAAGGATGCTGCTTCATCCAAGTGCTCCTGGACCGCTGGAGGACTCGTGTTGGTGCCTTCAGAGAGGAGAAGATGCTCGGCTCGCCCTCAGCAGCTGCTCCTGCGCTGGGGATGGGGCTTACAGAAGCCTCTCCCTGCTTTTTTATAGGGTGAAAATGAGGATAAGGGCTCCAGCTGCCTGCCCCTGCCACTGTTTTCTCCCTTTTCTCCCTAAAATGTGCCCCTGGGGCAGGGGGAAGCACAAGCCCTGACCCACCTTCCACCCCAGCATGGGCAGACCCTCGCCCTAACCCACCCCAAGACCACGGGGTGTGCGACAACCCCTTCCCAGAAGGGCAGAAAACCTCATTAATCAGCCTGCTTTGGGATCCCACAGGGACCGGGCGATGCCTCTGCACACTGAAGGAACCACCGGCTGTGCTTTGCCTTTTCCTTGTTCCTCCTTTAATTTTAAAGCCTGGGCATTTCTTCCTTCCCCCTCGCACATCCCTCACCCCACGGCCTCGTGTGTTGCCATTAATTGTTCTTTACATCATTTTCCTTCCCCTGCTGAGGCTGAAATTGAAAGCAGCAGCCGAACCCTCGGTGAGCTCAGGGTGGCGACGAGAGCAGGCTCGGGCTCCTCATCCCTGGGGGGAGGAGAAGGGAGCGCTTGGGGACCCTAATTCGGCGCAGGAGCTTTTCCCTAAAGCTTTCCAGCCTCTTAACAGAATAAAAACCCGGCTCCTGTTGCTGACTTGTCCCAGGAGAGTCCCTGTTCTCTTATTTTTTTTTTTTCCCTCGCTCTTCTGTTGCTGATTCTTTATTCCTTCCCTTGTACAACGTCCCCTGGCTCCCATATCCCCCTGTCCCCACTGATCCCTGATCCTATAACCCCTTAACTTGAAACCCTAGAACCACTATTTGGGGTCAAAGAGGTGAAAAATGCCTCTTTGCCTCCACTGCCATTACAGCAAGCTGATGGGGCAGGAGCTGGGCACACCACTGGGATCATAACACAGTTAATTAATATGGGAGTGTCCCCCACCAATTAACACTGATGGGTACCAATTAAAGCACATCACAAATCAGGGTGGGCTCCATGATCTCTGTGCCCTGGTTTTAAGGCAGTTACTGAAGATTTGGGGTTGGAGATGTACCATAGCGTCTACTCCATGTAAGGGTCCCAAGCCTTCAGAAATAGCTTTCACTTTTTTTTTATTTTTATTTATTTGTATTTATTATTTTTTATTTTAATCCTTTTGGTGCTGAGTTTTCCACCACGCTGGGGGTGATGGTTCAGTGCTTGGCCTCTGGACCTAACATGCGATCCTAAATAGGATTTTTTTTCTCCCCCCCATTTTTTCCCTGTGTGATTTTTGTTGGGGTGAGGGAAGGAAATGGCACGGAATGGGGTCATTCCACTGACCTGGTTCTGAGCACAGCCAGACGCTGGCAGCCCCCAGGCCTGCAGGGCAGAAAGGGAAAGGAGGAGGAGGAGAACATGAAGAAAGGGGAAAGAGAACATGAAGAAATGGCTTTTGCCGAAGGAGAAACCACCACGTGTGGAACCAGAGGCTCTGGCAAAAAAATGAGGTAGCTGTAACACAAATACTGCCCAGTTTGAATTCATAATGAAATTAATGTGACATTAACAGGGAAATAAAAAAATCCCAGATACGGAAAGACCAGGATTCCCTGTTTATAAGTGTTGTCTTGAAGGGGTCTCCCCTTTTTGTCCCAAGTTACAGCTCACCCCACAAGCGTGCCCGTGCCAGCTCAGAGCCCCCCGGACAAAACCGTGAAGCCAGCTCCTTTCCCCTCATGGGGACGTGATTTGGGATGGGATGTACTCATTTTGCCCATTTTTGGGTTAGTCTTATGAATGTTTTCCATGGGGTCACAGCTGGGGGGGCTGCCCGATCCCCATGGCACAGGGGGATCACCAAAACCCCCCCACCAAACTCCAAGCTCCCTCCTCACTGCCTCAGTTTCCCTCTTGCAAAACCGAGCAGGGGCTCCGGGGCTGATAAACGCGGCTCCTTCAGGATGATCTCTCTCTTTTAGGGGACAGCTCCCCTAATCCCACACCACCCAGTGCCCGGCTGACCCTACAGCGGGGTCACCCAACCCCTCGGGACCCGCACCCTGTGCGCGCCCCCAGCGCCCATCCCCGCTCCCCCTTCCCATTCCCGGCTTCACCCTCACCCCCTTCCCCAAACCCCCAGCTACCAGCCGGCAAGCCCAGCTCGGGACCAGTCCATCCCAGTAAAAAAAAGGCTCTTTTCCCAGTTCCCCGCCGCCCGATCCCGGGGCCCCAGCGCAGGCGCGGCCGCTGCCCGCCCCGTCGGGGCGGCGCTTGGGGACGCGGAGCGCAGCGGGCGGCGGAGCGCGATCGTGCACCGGGCACCGGGCACCGAGCAGGTAAAAATAAACCCCGGGACAACCTGGGGGTGCTTCTCCTTGTCCCCCCCGAGCTGTCACCCCCACCTCAGGGCCGCAGCTCGGAGCCCAGCCCCGAGGAGCTGCTGCCCCCTCGGGGGATGCTCCGGGCACCTGTGGCTTTGGGAAGGGTGCGGGGAGGGTGGCGCGGTGCTGGGGGGGTGAGGGAAGGATTATTTTGGGGGTAATTAAGCCACGCAGCCCCTCTTTGAGAGGAGCATCCCGCTGTCCGTGTGGGTAGCGAGCGGTGTCGGCAAAGCGCTGGGGGAGGCTGAGATTTTGGGGGGGTTTGCGGCAAGTTTTGGGGTGCCCGAAAGTTGGGGAGGGGGCGGGCGAAACCTCGCAGCTGCTCCCCTCGCTGCCTGCTGCCGGCACAAAGTTTGAGCAGCGAGGCCTCGCCGCTGGCTGGAGAGCAGGATTTCTGCGCTGGGAGAAAAAAAAAAAATAATTGGAGGTTTCGGTATTGTGCTTTGTTCCGTTTTTTTGGGACAAACCCAAAGGCTTTTAGGAAGTCGCGTGGAAAGTTAGGGCGAGAGAGCTCGGGCAGCCCAGGCTGCTGGGAAGAAGGGAGCTGATGTTCCCCGCCTTTCCGAGCAGGGATTTGAGCTTGGATTTCCCGTATCCCATTAGCAGGAGGCACGATCCTTTTCTCCCTCAAGGACCAGGCTGCAGTTTTTCCCCTCCATCCCCTCCCACCTCTTGCCCCGGGTGCTGATTCCTCCTCCTGGGCTCAGCCTGGTGGCAGCATCGCTGCGGATTGAGGCTTTCCCCTTCCCTCATCCATTGCTGGTCCCTCCCCAGCAGGGACTTTAGGATTTAGGATTTTAGGGAGAGGAGACGCTACAGGTCTCCTGATCTGGCCCCATGTAGTGTTTGGGGAGCCTGGAGCAGGGCTGAGAGGCTGGCTGAGATGTTGTATGGAGGCTGTAAAAGCCCAGCAAGGGCGGAAAGGGGATGGGATTGCTGCTAAGGACATCCGAGGGGTGAACATGGGGAGCTATCTGAGCCGGAGGACGGGGTTGGAACTGAGAAAAATGGGGGTGAATTCATCCCAGGGCAGCTGAGACTGGGAGACTTCTCCAGAGGCTTGGTGGTGGCTCCCCATCGGGGATGGGGTGGAGAGCGAAATCAGGGAACCAGAACTGGTCAGGGGAACCTCCTCGATTATGCCTCAAAACAATAAAAAGGAAAAAAAAAAAGGAAAAAAGGAAAAAATAAATCCTGCTCTCCCTTGCCTGCTTGCTGCACAGATTAATAACAAAGCATCGATGCTTTAAGAAGGCTTTGGACCTGATCCCAAGAGCAGATTTAGACAGTGTTTGTGCTCGAGGACGGTGATGCTAAGAATGGGAGCATCCTCTAAAGCTGCTCATGCTTGTGAACTCATCACCAGGCACTTCTGGCTGGTCCAGAGGTGCCAAAATCCCTTTCCTGGCTTAGTCCAAGCAGGCTCGTATGAGAAGGATGCACCTGAGGGCTGGGGCCATGGGGCTGGGCCCCCTGCTCGGGGTGGCCCTGCTGGAGCAGGGCTGGCACCACAGGGACCCGCAGCTGCCCGACACCACCAGATACTTGGAGATTTGGGATCCTGGGGCTCTGGGATCAGGCCCTTCTCCTCCAGGTTTTCAGTGACCTGCTTCATGTGTGGGGCCAGGTGACGCCCCTCCACCTCCCGTCCCTCCTGCGTCCCCGGGGGCAGCAGCACGGATGGGGCCGGGCGCGTTGCTCCGGCTCTGCTCGCTTCCAGCTGATTACCCAGGGAGAAAGGGCCGAGCTCGGCCATAAAATGGACACAAACCCATCGCCTTCATCGGGGCTGCTCTGCTGTGCACCAGCGGGGTGGCTGCCTGGCCCCAACGTTAACCCTTCCCCTGCTCTTGGGTCTCCCCCCGGCACCCTGGAGCCTTTCCATCCACGGGTTGCTTGTGCTAAATGGGTTTGTGGGGTGGGAGAGACCCTGCTTTGGTGCCTCAGTGTAGAGGTAGCTCCTTGAGGGGCCCGTGGAAATGGTGCCACCGAGCTTTTTGCCTTTTCTAGGTAAAATAAAACCTTTATTTTCTGTGCTCAGCAGCACGATTGCAGAGCTTCGTGCTTCGGGGCTGTGCCGGCGACGTGGCAGATGCAGATCCTTGATGGGAGCCTCGGGTTTTGGGGCTTGTAGGGCAGGGATCTGGCCCCTCTGAGCCTCATCCAGCCCTTCCGAGGGGGCTGGACCTGTTTGTGCATCCCGTTGGCAGCTTTCATGTGCTCGACGGGGTATGGCCCAGATCAGCGATGCTTTGACACATTTCACCTTAAAATACTCTCCGGCACGGAAAAAAAGCTCCTTGCCCCTCGGTTTGCCCTTGGTGTCAGTCCTTCTGGGCTGTCCGAGCTGCTCCCTTTTCCCCTGCTCACGTAGAGAAGAAGGAAGCGTGCCTGTTTGGTTGTTTTGTTTAAAAAAAAAATATTTATTATTTATTTTTTGCAAGCCACACCTTGGTAAAGCGAGAGCTTCCCACCGCGTCTTGGCAGGCTGGCAGCTCCCGAAGCCCTGCAGAGCCGGTCCTGCCACCTGAGCTTGCTTAAACACTGCAAGGATCGCTCCGGGGTGGTTCCTGGGGTAAAAACCAAGGGAAAGCTCGCACGGATAAAAGGTGAAGCCGCCAACCCTCCTTTGTGCAAGCCGCCAGGTGCCAGCTCTTGCGTCGGAGCTCCTTGCGCGGGAGGAGTTATTGCGCCTGCAGCCGACAGCGGGTTTCTTGCTGGGAAGCGAAGCTCTTCCAAGGATTTCAAGGACTTCCAGCAGCATAAAGGGACTTTGGGAAGGTTTGTTGGTTGGGAGAGCAAGGTTTTAATCCGCCCAGATGGATATCGGGGCTCTGCTGATGGCTTATGGTCAGGGGAGCCAAGCGCCGCGTCCCCACAGCCTCCTTTCCTAGCCCCTGTGCTTGATGTCCCACATTTGGTGCCGCAGTGCCCCTAAAAGTGGCATTTCCCCTGGATTTGCCAACGGGATCAGCCCATCAGTGCTCCCGTGGCAGTTTCCCTGCTGGCTCTGGGGGAGGAGGCAGGGGCTTGGTCCCCATCCCAGCATCTGCAGAGCTGGGGGGGCTTCAGGAGAGGAGAAATCCTCCTCCAGAAGGAGCCTTTAGAGCTGGATGGGTGGCTCCTTTCTATCCAGTCTATGTAGGGTCCCTCCCAGTGATGCTGCTGAATGTCCATGGGGGATATTCTTGGTTGTGGATGCTCTTAGAGGGGCGAGGATTTGGGATTTCACCTCCACGCAGGAGGTCGGAATTGCAGCTTGAGGGGCAGGGGCTCGGGCTCCCCCTTTGTGGTCGTGGCTTCTGCTGGGAAGCCAAAGTGACCGAGGATGAGTGCTGCATTTGGGCAGGAGACCCTACAAAAGGTTACGTCCTCTTGGTGGATGGAGATGTCCTGCATTTTGGGGAGGTCAAGGGGAATGCCCTGCTGCAGTCCGGCAGCACCCGGCTGGGCTCTGGGGTTTGGGGATTTGTAGGATGGGGCTCAGGAAGGGGCTCCCGAGGGGATTAAGACCCTATGGAAGGGGAAAAACAAAAAGAGGGGCACCAAGGGGGAGGAAGGCAGAGTGCCTCGGTGCTTCTGTGCCGGGGCTGATCCCGTAGCACCCGCCTGCCTCCCTCCAGCTCTGTCGGAGCAGCTGCAGTCCCGTTATCTCTCCTGCTTCTCGGGCACGCGTCTCTGCATCGCTCGGAGTTCAATTGCTTTAATTATCCCAGCGGCTGCAGAAGCAATTGAAGGCTGAGCATTTGCGTGGAGACGTGCCGCATTTTATCTGTGCTTAATGACGGGTTTTCTGAATGAATTTCCCGAAACCTCTTCAAGAAGCCTCGCTGCGGCCCCGAACGCCCGAGCACGAGGCTGGCTGCGCTGCCTCAGGCAATGCCCCGTGACTCCTCTGCCCTTCCCTCTGCGGGGATGTGACAGGGGGCACAGGTCTGCCCTTGGGCCACGGTTTTGTCCAGCTGGCAAGAAAATCGGCCTGAGCGTATTGTAGCGGTGCACGGCGTCCAGGGGAGCCGGTGTGAGCAGATTTCCAAGAGCCTGCTCCAGACGTGCAATTAGAAGCCCTGAATAAATAATAGAAATACGCATTCAGCCTGGCCCTGCACAGGCAACATCCCTGGATTGACTTATTTTTGAATGAATGGTGATCAAAAGGGATGCGGAGAAGGGATGCTCCTGTAACCTGATGGGGTGGGCAGCGTGTGGCCAGCACGGTGCTCGTGGGGTGATGCCCATCGTGTCTTCCTGGGCTGAGGATGCTCCACGTGGCCCCGGAGGAGCTCCCTGGCAGGGATTTGTTGGGAAGTGCCAGGTGAGCTCAGACGTGGCCTTTCCCTTCCTCGCGCTGCTCCCTGTAATCATTAACCAGGGTCACAGCTCGGTGCCGGGGCTTAGCGAGGTGATCGCTATCTCCACGGGCTGGGCACTGGCAAAGCTCACGAATTCATCTTTCAGTGCTGGCCTTAGCCACTCTCCAAGGGTTTTTAACCCTGCTGTGGCACAGGACACAACCCTGATATAAAGCCAGCAGTGGTGGGGCTCCTGGGGACATGTGGCCCTGGTGGGGTGCCCAAAATTGAGCTCCTCCATCCTCCCCAGCCCATGAGTGGGTCGGGATGAGCTGCACCCCGAGCAGTGAATTTCTCCTGCTCCTTTCTCCATCCCTCCGACAAAACTGGCAGCCTGGGCACGTCCTGATCCCATCTGCCCTTAAAGTCTGCAATGAGCAGAAGGGTTGGGCTGGCCGGGGCCACAAAAGCATCTCTGGCCAGGCAGAGCTCGACCGTGGCAGCTCAGCAAGCTGGGGCTGAGAGAGGAGCTCCAGCAACAGGTTAACGGGTCGGGGCATCCCCGGATGGTTATTTGTAGGAACCAGGCAGGCTGTGACAGCCAGGAGCTGGGATCACTCACAGCAGGACTGCCTTTCCTCATTCCTTTCCAGGTGAGTCACC